AAAAAAGGCAGGGATTTTGTATTGGGTCTTTTTCACATCAGAAATGTTTTCCTGCATATTGCTGAAATGAAATGTCTCTCAAGGTAGCTAAATGTGTCTGAGTAGGTTCCAGTGACTCTTGGGCAATGGGAGCACTCAATAACAAGAGAGGAAAAAAGACATACCTAATATGATCTGTTGAACTGGAGCATCTTAATCAGAGCTGAGTTCTGAAGGAACCAGGTGTTATTTTGCTCCTGGCAGCAATTGAATCTTCACAGGTTTTTCATGACATCACATCTTTTCCATGTCTTAACCAGTGACTCATCCTGCTTGCCTGTTTGTTCCTATTTCTAGCTGCCAGCAGGAAACACTAAGCTTAATGTGAACATTCTCTTATTAATGACACATTCTAGTCTGCCCAAGGTCCCTCTCCCTTGTGCAGCCTGGTGGGTGGGTTGTTTTTTTCCCCTTCCTCTTTCCCAAGGTGACTTTTGTTTATCTGATTATTGGTGACTTTCACTCCAAACTCTACTTTTGCAAAGGAGATGTGCGTGTGTGTGTGAATKTAACATCCCCCTGTAACCCCGGGGCTGGGAAGTGGGTTATTCTGTCTCCAAGGCTGACCGAACTCCAAACAAAAAGGTGCAGAAAGCCGTAGTGTAGGTGCTACAATGTGGCATTTAACAGCAGGGAGGAAGAAGTCTTTCCTCCACCACATCTGATGAAGTCCCAAATTGTGGTGGGTGCTGGTTATTGGGGTGGAGGTATCCTCTGTTCTGACTCTGAGTAGCCTAAGCAAGGGTGATGTTAAATCTACACAGCTTATAAATGTTGCCAATATTGCTGGACAATAAGCAACTCTTGTTCTTGCATATTATTCTTCAAAAAACAAAAAAAAACCATGCAAATCATTACATAATCCTTTAAAAAAATTGGAAGGGTTTATTTCTTTAGAGGCTATTTGTCACATACACTGCTAGAAAAGCAATGGTGCTAAGGGGATTAAATTCAGTGCAGATTAGATGTTTCAGTGACATTTTATTTGGAACAAAGAACTGGCTGGAAATCTTCACTAGAAGAAGGATGGCTTGGAATAAGGGATTCTGATTTTTCAGACCTGCAGCAAAGAGCATCTATCATGATTTAAAAACTCAAATATGTTTGCCTTGTTAGTACCTTGCAGTTTCTGCTGAGAGAGTCAAGTAAATTTAAGAAAAGCTTATTGTACTTCTGTTGTAAATGGGTGCGTGATGGATCTTTAGACTAGAGGGCAACTGCACACAATGCAAATGCATCTAAGTCTTTTTCTTGTCTGATGAACATTGAATTTTGATTGCTCATTAATGCAAAACCTTGAAATTTTTGTTTCAAGCTGCCCACTAATGGTCCTGTGGGTGTTTTTAATTGTTTGCGTAATGGAGAGGCGCACAGAAGAACAGAGCTGTTAGCACACCGGTGTAAATACACCTCACAGAGACCCTTCTGTGCCTGGTTACAGCCAAGCTCTTTGATTCCTCCTCAGGGAGAGCCTAGCAGGTTTCTGGATGCTGGGGCTCAGGCTATTCTTCCAGGCATTTGGCTAGACTGTTAATTAGTGCTACATCACCTTTCTGCTGATCCCTGCCTGTGCTTCATGTACTTGTCTCCTAATGAGTTTGTGGTCTACCTGGAAATCTTGCAAACAACTTGTGGGGGAAGGGGAGGAAGCAATTTCTGTCAGTTATTTTCTCCTTCATTAGATAAACAACTTGAACTTAAAAGCCTGAAATGACTAATTACCTGAGGTTTGTGGTGTTTTAAACTGAGGAAAGCACAAGTGTTGTAAATGCTKAAGAAAGTGAGCTCAATTTTTGCAGTTTGTTTTATTTTATTTATGCTGAGGCATCTGTGTGTGGGGGTGTGCACTTTAGTTCTCATGGTGTAAGTCGAGAAAATTAAGCCAGTTTATCGCTGTCTAAGAARCTAATGTAACCTGAGGAAAAAAGTRATTTCAGGGTGATAGTACAACAGTTGAAATGCAGTTGGAGAAATGGCACTGTAAAGCTGTGATGGGAGGTGATGTGCTCTGTACCTGTACAGTCAAACAGAGCAAGGAAGCCATCAGTGACTCACAGAGGGGTGAATCACATTTCTGCATTGTAACACAAACTTTATATACCATAAGAGACAGGATGCTTTTGCCTCACACACACTCCCTTTGATGACCTGAGAAGGCAGGCACCTAAGTATGACCTAATGATTATACAAATCAACTTTCTAATGGCTATAAGTTCACTGTCCACCAGAGGACAGGTTATGACTGAGCAAATGCAGGTTGTCCTTTGGGGTTCTGTACCTCCTGCAGTTCCATCTCTGACTAATGTACAAATTGGGGTCCTTCCCCATGCAGAATACTGAAATCAGCAAAMCAGATTTGCTAAATTCCAGAGCTGTCAGGCAATAGCACAATTTGGCTTTTTCAGTCCAGTTCCTCATTGAGTTGTGGCACTGAGGTGGCATCAGGGCAGATTTTGGAAGTCACCCTGAGTGTCCCTTGGGGCTGCTTCCCAGGACAGCCTGGATGTATGTCCCCAGAGCTGAGTCCTTGCTCTGAGCCATTGTCAAATATAATTTCTTTCCAAATTACTCTGCATGTAACTTGACAATGTGTCTTGCAGTCACTTACTGCCTAGTCACAGCCTCATGCCCTAAGCCAGAGTGAGCACAGAGGAGGAAAAAGAAGGTGAGATTTGGAAGGCAGGAGAGCCTGAGAATGCAGGTATCAGACAAYAATGAGCAGTGTAGAAGCTTGACTTCCTGTGGATTTGTTTGGTTTTGTTGGTTGCAGAATCTGTGAAGTTACTGGTTTAGGGCCTTCTCCTAATGAGACACGAAGAAAGCCTCTCTGAAGTGAATCCTTTGGTTCTGGGAAGGGATGATCATTGCACTTCAGCTTTTTTCACAGCTAAAGTATACTTAAGGTCTCTCTTCACCTTACTAAACACTTTTTGTGACATATGTAAAAATATTTAAACACATTTTCCCTCAGCCAAATTTGATCAAAATGCATGTGTGGAGACTGATGATTTAATAAGCCTCACATCTTTAGGAAATCAGGCTAAAATAAAGCAACTCTCATCTCTCTGAACAAAAGAACAGTACYATTGCTGCTGAGACCTTCCTTGCTTGAAGAAATATAGTTAGGATCTGGTTGTCATGGCGGGTTTAGCTGTTCAGCAGCTAAGTGGGGATGTTGTGTCAGTAAATATGAGAGTGCTCTGTGATGGATTTTTCACTGGCAGAAAGACAAATGGTCACTCAGGCTGCAGGGTGGAGCCCACCTCATTCTGGTACCTCCTGTTAGAAGGGAACTGGAGAACTATTCCTCAACAGTGTTTCATGGTGATCAGCCAGTGGACTACCCCATCTTGAAATAATGCACAGCTTTAAGGGAAAAAATCATGCATTTTTCCAGAGAATTGGTGAAGAAAGAGCAAGATTGCTGCTGCACAGCCTCTCCACTGGGAAATTCACAGTATGTTACAGCTGTGGATAGTCTCACAGTAGTGCAGTGCAGAGCCTTTCAAGCAAGCTGTAGGGAGCTTATTTACAAGCACAGTCCTCCTGCTGAGAGGCTCTGTGATGTTCTGGTGCAGAACAGGTGACCCCAGACTGGCTGCCGTGTGTTCTGCAAGGGCCAGCACTGTCTCTTGCACGCAGCAAAACTGAAGCTGCTTGCATGGGAATGATGGGCAGGATGATTTTAAAGCTGAGTAGTTTCCCACCCACTGTCTTCTGGGGATGTGCTGATGTGCTGTGTCTGTCTGATCTCTACTCCTGCCAAGAGTGCTCTACGTGGTTTTATTTTACTCTTCCAACAAGTTAYATGGTTGTTAAGTCCTTTAGGGTCTTTTCCTTTGGAACTTTAATCACATTTTAAACCAGTGGCAGCAAATGCTTTCTTCAGTGTGGGTTTTGGGGGACTAAAGGATGGTTCRTTTTAGAACTAACCCATCACAATAAGTTGACGTCTCATACTGAGCACACACTTTGAAGGCAGTGCCTTTTGGCTCCCTGCAGCTGTTTCACAGACCTGCCAAAAGAAGGATGAAATGTGTTCAAAAGATAGAAACCTTCTGAATGAGAGAGACAATTCAGCACACGATTTCTCTCCTGGGTTCAGAAGGCAGGTCCAGAGGGAATGGATTGGGCTGTAGGACTGCTGTTCTGGTGTAGAAGTATTCCTCAGTTTAAAAATAGGCTTGARAAATGTGAGGAAAAGGTGCTGTTGGCATCCAACAGATGGTAGTTGACATGTTTTCTAGCTGTCACAAGTCTTTCAAAATTCTYCTGTTGCATATGCCAGAGTTTCACCTTTGTGCTGCCCAGCTGAACGCAGAAATGACAACTGCAGGTGGAGGAGCTCTGCAGGAACTCTATGGGTAAACAAAATTAAGATGATCTAAAGAAGAGAATTAATAGATCTCAAATAAGTGTGTGCATCTCAGACTGTGTGACTGGGATATTCCACGTTAAATTCACTGTATATAATAATGTTTATTGCATCAAATCTTTGATTACTGTCTCTAATCTGAGGCAAGAAAGAAGTTACCCATAGCATCCACCTCAAGGACATTTTCCTGACCGTGACACTGAATTGCAACACGTAAATGTTTTCTGCCTGGTACAGTCCTGGACTGGTTATTTTGCCTCTGCTTTGAAGTGTCTGCTTTCAGTGAACTCTGCTAACATTTTATTATTGCATTGAGGCTGAGGCAGAGAAGAGTAATTAAAGGGTTGACATCTTTGGTATTTTTTTAATAGTACATGTGTCAAAATGCATTTAACAAATCATGGTTGATGCAAAAGCCTAATTAATGCTAAAATGTAAGTAGAGTTCATTTCAGTTGGGAGCAACTGAGAATTTTAAAATGTATAATAACAAAAAATGGTTGCCTGATTTTAGATATAAGACCTAATTACAAGTCTTGCTTCTGAGAGCTGAAGTCTTAAAGCCTAAATATTCCTTTCTGTTGCAGGATACAGCTGGACAAGAAAGATACAGGACCATCACCACAGCCTACTACCGAGGAGCYATGGGCTTTGTCCTCATGTATGATATCACCAGTGAAGACTCCTTCAATGCAGTGCAGGACTGGTAGGAAATACTGTTGTCGTGTTTGTTTGGGTTTTGGCCGACTATCTCCTCACAACTGAGACATCCCACTCTCCATAGTGCTTTGCATCATGGTGTTCTTTCCTCTTCATCTGAATAATTTGGTTTGTAAACGTTCCTTAGAAAAAGTTCTACAGCTTCTCTTTAATGAAAAGGTTGTAGTTGAAATTTTGTAGCATACTATAGCATTTGTTGCTTTAAAACGTTTAAATTTATTGTGAAGAAATTAATCCTTTAATGCTTTTTTGGGCTTATGAGGTTTCTGRCTATGCTGCTAAAAATTCAGATTAACAGTGGTTGTTCAATTCACATCTCAGGGATTTGGGGAAAGGCTGTGTTTATCCTCAGAAGTAGTGCCCTGTGACTCCACTCAAATGTCTTGCAATCCTKTCTGCTGATTACCTGGTTGCTCTTKGCTGCAGATAAGGCTGGTCACCRTGCAAAGAAGGGCAGTGCAGTGGTTAATGCGATCTCCTGAGTCAGATTGATTTGCAGTGATCTCAGTGACCTTCTGGGAGCGTGTGACATCCTGGCTGTGGTACTGGCTCTTAGCATCTGGCTCAGCCTGACTTTTTCTCAACAGTTATTCTGTATCCCTATCTAGGCTGTAACTCAAAAGCTGCAAAAACTTTTGGTGGTTTGTTGTTCCAGGTGATTTGTCTTTCCTCCAAAGCTGCCCAGTTTTTGTTCTCTCTGTTCACTAAAGCAGTTGTTCACRATGGTCACATCCAAGATGTAGTCTCTGCTTTCAGCCCCCCATCCCCAGTACCATGRCAGCAGTTGAAGTGCAGCACCATCCTGAGCAGCCCTTCAGCAGCTTGTGATAGAGGAATGCATTCTTTTCTTGTTAGAAACACAAACACAAAGGTTTTGTCAAAAACAGTTTTGTCCATCAAGTTTTGCTCACCAAGCTCAGATGAAGCTTCTTCTGCGTCTGCTTGGGGATGTTTTCCATAGGAGTGCAAGCATGTGAGCTGGGGCAACATCTTTTACTAAACTCTAAATATTTTCAGCTTGGTTCCCTCATGAAACAAGATCCATATGATCACACAGTTGATCTACCTGTCTGTCTGTTGGTTCTGCTCTAAGAAGTTGTACTTACCAGTCTTAGCCAAAAATTACCAAATCTCATTCTCCGAGCTGCTTCTATTTTCAAGTTTGCACAGGTGAAGTTTAACCTGAAGCTTTACATTGGAAGTAGTCTAAAGTCTGCTCCATCAAAGGCACTGGTGTGAGAGTAAGAACTGGGAAAGGTCAGCTTTGTCTGTTTGACTTCACGTCTTCCTGTGCCATGGGAGCTGCAGGAATATCTTTGCTAAGAGCACTTGTCAGCCAAAGGACAGAGGTGAACCATCAGTGTGTTTTTCCTCTGTATGTCAGGAATCTTTCCAACTAGCTTTCAGGTTCTGAGCCCAAGTGAGGTAGTGGGGCAGAAAAAAAKGTCCCATTTCCTTCCTTCCTGAAGCTTGTCCACAGGAGAGGAGGGCTGCAGTCAAGCCAGCATCTCTGGGCCAGCAGAGTCCTCTAGTGGCTATTGCAGCTGGGAGATGGTTTTTCCCAGTCTATGGAATCTCTTTCACAACTTCCAAAGGCACAAGAAATGGAAAAAAAAAAAAGCTTTTGTCTGATGCTGGTGTTGCTCTCTCAGTGTCTGCCATTTTCTAGCATACCAAGTAGGTTTTTTTTGTGGTTTTTTTCCCACTATTCTGCATGATACCGTTATGATTAAATAACTTAACTACTCTGGATCTTCAGTCAAGAACTGCCCTTTCCATGGAAGATTAAGATATCTCCTACTTGAGCTCCTTTATTTCCATCTCWGGTTCATTGGCACATGCCTGTTTTAACAGCCCCCTGATTGGGCTTCACCTGTCCACAAGGGAAATGAGAATATCCCTCCCAGTCAGCCAAATGATTTCTTCCTTGAGAGATCTTTTTCTCTCACCCTTCTTATGGGTGGATGTCCTGAAGAGGATCTTGATTTGCTTTGTGGCACTCATACCTCTCCTAAACCAAGTAAAGGCACTTTTTCTCCTGAGTGAGAGGACCATGGCTGTATATCAGGTATTTAGACAAACTCTCCAGGTACAACATGAATACAAAATGGAGTCTTTCCTTCATTGATGTGAATCATCCCAATTAATGACCATCATCTTAAAACCACTGAGAAAGAGAAACAATTTAAATGCATTTGGGAATATGCGGAACATGACTTGTTCTCTTGTTCACTGGAAAATGTACAGCTGATTGTATGAGAAGCCTTAAAATATTAAGCCTGAGTTATTTTCGTTACTGCAGTGTGGCAAGAATTCGGTCAGGTTATTTTATGAGAAGAAACATAAATAGGCAAACACRMAGTTTTRACTGATATTTGAAAATAAGTAATTWTTTTGTTTGAATATAAGATATCTTTATCTCTCCTGTAAGGTGAGTGAAAGGGTTAAATGAGTTTTCATTGCTTTCAGCTCAGTTTCTAGAATTTTCTTTTAGTTGTCTTCTTTGATAGCTATTATTTGACATTGAGTTGATAGTTTTGTATGTAGATAAATCAGTTGTTTATACCTCATTTGAAACTGTACTGTAACTAAAATATATTCAGTACTGGAAACTGTAAAGTAAATAGAAAATATTATGGAAGCTCTGCTTTAGGCAATCTAGACAATTTCATAGAAGGGAAATAAAAATTGGTAAGATTAAAYTTAGATGTGACAGCTGGGTTCACAAATCATCAGCTTTATTTATTTTAACTCAAACTGAGTTGATGATACCTCCATGTAACTGTGAACCTGAGACTATTTTTCTTCTAAGCATGAAGCACAAAGTTTGTGTTTTATTGTTAATTTGGGGAATTCAGCACAAACAAGRCACAGCATTTTATTGTGTCACAGAAATATGTTTCTCTCAATTGTATATTGGGCTGCCCTGCTAGTTGTTGAAACAGCTCCATCACACAAACCCTGCTGTTTATTCATTTATCTTTCTAAAAGCATCTGGAAATTTTCTGTCTTCATCTTTATGTATGGACATCAGGGTTTCTTTTACATGTTCTTTGTAACTTTTTTGGTTGGTTGATTGCCTTTTATTCCTAAGAAGAGTAAATGTTGGAGTGCTGTAAAAGGTTTTCCACTAACTCTTATAAAACAGGGAGAAGGATGCATTTCTCTGGGAGATCCTTCATGCTGATTTCTTCTTTTTTCATTTTCTGAGTAATTCTGTTTAAATAGTTAAGGTTTGGCAGTGTGTCCCCATATGATGCCAGGGGCTGAAATGAATCCAGAGGCTGAACTGTGGGTTAGAAGAGGAGCCTGCTTACAGTTGAACCTGGGGAGACTTTATTTCTCTATTGTTTATGAAGGGAGACTGGGGAGATCTAATCTTCCTGGACTTTTGGTTGGACTGGGAAGATTTCATCTTCTGGGCTTTTGGCTGATTTCTGCAGTCATCCCGTTCTCTGATGAGCCTTGAGAAACCCCAGAGGCCCACATAAGCTCATCACAGACTCACATTAGCTCTCTTGGGGCTTGTCTACATGGAGTTTCTCAAACGGTGAGACTGGAGGAGCTAAATTGGGATTGGAGTGAGTGCCTTTCCAGGAGCACACTAGGGAGAGTAGGAAGTTTCATTGAACAGTCTTTGGATTTTTTGCATTTTGCACTCTGGGTTTGGGTGAGTCTCCCGTTCTCCAGGGCAGTCCAAGCAGGCTGCTGCTTCAGGGCAGGTTGCACAGTGAAATGGCCCCTTTTTCACAGTTATCTGTGGAGTAACATAGCTGGCGGCTTTYCCTGGAAAGAAAGCAAGTAAGCAAYTCAAATTAATTAAAAACTGTCATTAGGAGATCAGAGCTGGAGGCTGCTGCTAATTCAAAAGAGAAGGAATCAAGTGCTTTATTGTTAAAGGAGCTTCTTTTACACAGAAGTAAAAGTTTGAGGAGACTTCTGGTTCCACTGGGAAGTGGCAGATTTGCCTGAAATGATAATGCCCTGCCTGGAGTGGTGGTGAGTTGGGGCAAARAGTGGGATGGTGAGTTAGGGAATGGAGGAGTGTATGGCTCCTGGCGCTGCAGGCTAATTACCCTTGAGGAGGAGGGAGCCTTAAAAGATAGAGCTGACTTGGTGAAGATAAAATAGGTTGTGTGGGTCTGTAAAGATGGATGAAAGTGAATGCTGTTCTGCTGCTGGCTCTGGGACATCTCACCAAGGATGGTGGGGAGAGGGCTGGCCCCTCAGGATATATAAAAAAYAATATCCTGTTTTGTCATGGAAAAACTTGAAAGAGGCTAAATGTAGGGTCAGAGTCCTGGGATCCACAGTGAGCTCCACTCCWGTTTYAGCAYGAGCCACAGAAAACTTTGGAGGCTYCAAATTCACCYGAGTGCTCCTGCCTAAGCCCCCATGCCCTGCACCCCTGTGCCACTGAGGTTAGCATTGGTCTGTCATTGCARCTGCTCTTTCCTGCCTTAGGTATCCCTCAATCCTGCTGAGTTCAAGTATTAACTCCTAGATCCTTGCTTTGATCTCAAATCTTCCCAATTTCCTAAATTTCTGTTTCTCCTTTTCAGCTGTTTCCATGTTTCAATGCGTTTTTCAGTTTCCACGAAACTGTTTTCCTGTTCAAGCAAAGACAACTTGATGCTTCCATCTGTTTTTGTGGTGTCCCTAAAACTCAACAGCAAAATGTGCTATAGAAAAAGAGAGAATTATTGTTGTTCTGCCTTTTATGGGAAGTTATAAATCCAATATGAAGTGTGCATTTATAGTATGGATTTCTCTGTGGGACAATACCCTTAAAAGCTGTAATTAATTGTTGTATCTCTGACAGATAACAGCTGAAAGAGAATAAGCTTTACAAAAAGACTTCTTTGTCCCTAATCTTCAAAATTTACTTGATTCATTTTTTATCTGGATCTCATGATCTTTAAAATAATTGCAAGGTCTTAATAAGAAATTTCATTGTCACACAAAGGTAAGGAGTAGTGGAATAGAGCAGTGCTGTGAGTTACACACTTTGCATTCTTGCTTTGTGTGTCAGCCTGGTCRTTTGTCTTTGAACCAACACACAGCCTGGGGATGCTGATGTCATTAATGGTACTTGTTTTAATATTTATTATAGGATTGTATTTTGGCACTGCTGATGGAATGTAACTATCTCTCTTGACCTGCTCTAGGGCCACACAAATCAAGACTTACTCCTGGGACAATGCACAAGTGATCCTGGTTGGAAACAAGTGTGACATGGAGGATGACAGGATTGTTCCCGTGGAGAAGGGGCAGCATCTGGCAGATCAGCTGGGTACATGGAAAACTGTCCTTCTTACCTTCTATCTTTTGTTTGTTTATACTGTCTGCCTTTCAGTTTGAACAGTATTCAGCCCTTCCAGCAGTAATACTTGAGTAATGGTCTCACAACTAAGAAATGTAATATATTCTAGGTTCAGATTTTACTTACTTYGTGCTCGGTAGGCCAAGAATACCTGGTAGAACACTTGTGGTGTTGCTGTATCTATAAAGTGGATGTCTAGGGGTGGAAGGAAGATAAAGTTTATCTGTAGAGAAAAGCTTTATTAGCTCARCAGAATGAAAAGAGAAGACGTTTTCATAAACACAATTCTGTCTCCAGGTCTTCAAGTACTGTGTGCTCATTGCAAATCAATGCAAACATTGATTTTTGTTGAAGCATTTTTTTAACTAAACAAGGAAAAGAAAAAAGAAATTTATATATCAGAGCTGAGGAATTGGGTAAAACRTATTTTAAAAATGTACTAGGCTTCTCTATCCAGGCAAGAAAATGACATGTTATTGACGTGGGATAGAAAAAGCAAAGCAGTTCTATTGAGAAGAAGCTGGGATGGCAATGAAAAATTTATAATGAAGAGCAAAGTAAACTCATGCTAGTTTATAATTTATTTATCATTTTTCATTATCTATTATAGTATATATGATATTTTTAATATTAAATCAGAGCTCTGTGTTAAAATTTAACTATACTGTTGTCTTCTGTAAAGAATTCAAAGTTGCAAGTAAATCCTGTTCAAATTTAGTTTACCTAACAGTGGAGGTCCTTTCATTGGGCATAAACATTCGTTTAGCTTGTATGAATAGACATTTCTGCCATACCCAAAGGAATCACCATCATCCTCAATTTATAAAATCCTATGTTGTCTTCAATTCTTAAACAGTAATTAAAGGGTGCATAATGAGGCGTTAAATTGGAGGTATTGGAGTTCCAGGACACACTGCATACAGTGGTGTAGTTTGAAGTGTGACCTTGAAAGTGTGAATTCTATATATAGCACACAGAGGGCTCCCATTCATGACTGGAGTCTTGAGGCASTGCCATCATGAGCAAATAATGAGCAAATATCAAACTAAACCCATCATTATTATTGTAATAGTAAATCTTTATGCGTAGGATTGGCAAAGCAAACAAAGACATGGCTAATTTGCCAAATCATTCAGGGGCTCTTTTTTGCCGTCAGAGTTTAATTTGGTTTTGAAAATATGAATATGAATAAACTTGGTTCCTGTCTCTCAAAAAGGTGGATGCGTGTGTGTCCACCTATTTCACAGGAACAATTACATTGCTAGTAATAGAAAATTTGTCCAAACCAATGTAACAGCAAATGAAGCATTTTATTTGAACTCCCACTCCAAATTGGACTTCCAATGTTTTTTTCTRCTCCCAAAATTCATCTGTTTGTCTCAATACAAACTTGGCATCTAGAATCTGAATCCTTTACGTGTGGGACACTTCAAAACACACACACACAGAGTTACCATAGCAACTGATTCCATCAATAGGAAACTGTTTTGCAGAAGAATCCCCAGCTCTGCCCCAACCTGATGCTTGTCCAGCTCASCCTGGAGAAACCACTCCAGTGCAGAGCAAACCAAAAGCTGATCATGCCTTTGGGAGATGTTGTCCCAGCCCTGCTCTTCTGTAACCTCCCAAAATCTGAAACACTCTTTTCAAAAGAGCTGGAAAATAGATATGATTTTATCAGATCAGTTTTTCCTTACAGTAACTATGCTAATGTGTACAGCATTATATGAAATTATTTAGTGAGTTAGGTGGGAGGAATTTCTTTAATTGGCTATTGACTGCTTAAAGTGCTAATGTTCATCATAATGATTCACATAAAGGTTATCCCTTAGCATGTTTATCTAAGTTTGCATGGTGACATTAGCRTCATTGAAATAATTCCCTAATCAGATTAAGAAATTATTATTGGCCTGAATGTGAACTGAACCAAAACAGATGGGTTTAGAGGAAGCTAAATCAATGTTGGACTGACACATATCTAATTGCAGTTCTCTGATGTCCTGAGCTTTTCATAGATGTTTTTATTCCTCATCAAAACAGCAAGTGGGGCAGGCAGAATCCTCCTCTGATACAGGACAGGCTCTCCCTGCTTGGTAACAAGGCAAACATCTCCACCATCACTTCACCCCTTGTCCCATGAATCTTAAAAAAGGTTCCAGTGAGGTGGGTACCCCCTTATCTCACAGATCCAGGTGACTCAGCCAGCAGTGGCAGACTGATCAGTTAAGATAAATTTTCTCTTTGTTTGTGGCAGAATCAAAGGATATTGATGCAATGCGGAATATCCCGAGAATGAAGCACAATAGAACGGAGCTTATTGCAAAATAAACTCACTGTGGTGCCTCAGCTCTCACTGCTGGCAATTTAATAACCTGATAGAACAGAAGCAAAGCCTGGTTGGCCCTTGAGGCCCCTGGGGTGAGGGAGATAAGGAAAWGCTTCACAGTTCAGGGCATTCTGCTGCTGAGGCAGGCCCTGGGCTGTCAGTCAGAGGTGGCAGCGGGAGGCAGCAGGAGGAGCTTGTGCCATCCCCTCCTTGGTGTAACTCCAGCCTTGCTGGTTGGGATTTTTTAATYAGAAAGGGTCAGTGTTTGAGGGTCAAGGAGCATTTTGCTATTTGAGTTGGTCAGCAGAAGGGAAGCAACCACGATCTTCATTCTCCTTCTGGCCTCTGCTCTTGCTGGAGGGCAGCAGGGKTTGGCAGAGCCTGGCCCTGGGGCAGGGCTGTGTGGAGCCCAGGAAGGTTCCTCACATCTTGCTGGTGATGGCATGTCACCAGCTGCAGCCCAGGGGACCTGCACTGATCAAAGRGGGAGAATTGACTCCCTTTTCCTGGCTTTACTCAGATCTGCAGATGTATTCACAGGGGGGGATGGTAAGGATCCATTATCCCTTTCACTCTTAACGAATCTTGATACATTTTAAAAATATTTCTGCTCTCTATTCTTGAGATTGTGGGGATCAACTCACCCTAAGGGATRTCCAATGCCTTGTTTTCTTAAGAARTGGTATTTTGAAAATRATGATCATCATCTYTCTATTGATACTTTTTGTTCCCTTTTTCCCCAGGTTTTGACTATTTTGAAGCCAGTGCCAAAGAAAACATCAACGTGAGGCAGGTGTTTGAGCGTCTCGTGGATATAATCTGTGAAAAGATGTCGGAGAGCATAGAGTCAGACAATTCCAGGGGCACTTCTGGAAGGAGCATGCGGCTCACAGACAACCCTCCCCCTTCACAGCAGAACTGCTCGTGCTAGTGACCTTTCACATTGAGAAATGTCCTTCTCCCCCGATTAAATTTTATCTTTTCATTTGTGGTGGTGCATTATCATGTAGTCCAAAGACAGAAGTGTCTGTTGTGGGAAACTGGTATGTTTGTTTAATGTGCTGGAGTGTTAATATTATGTATTTCCTCATCCAATAATTTAATAATCTGAAAAAATATTGTAAGTGCACCTCGTGTGAATGTGAGTTACACTGAAGAAAAATAATTGTTTAGTGCTGAAAATGTTATTTCTACAGAGAATGTTGCATTTTTAAATTATATATTCCTGTATTGCAGAAAGAGGTTTTGTTTTTTTTTTGTCAAGAACAGCAGGAAGCACAAAAACCAATTAGAAGGGACCAGGTCTAAGAGAAAAAAGGGGAAAATCTCTTAGAAAGCAAGAATGTTCATTTTTGTAACAAAAAAAAATCATCCCCAGATATTTTGAGAATCATTGCTGTCCTCCAGACCTGGACCTCAGTTTTTTCTGTAGGATGGAGCAGAAAGCAGAGAATTTGTCTGACATTGTGAGGTAGTTGGCTGCTGCATGCTTAGTTGGAGACAAAAACTGACTTATAAGACATGGAATAGCACTGCCTGAGAGAGATAAAAATATCAGGAGCCAAAATGTGAATGTTGGCAAATATTTGTGCCAATATTATTAGATTTTCTTTCTGCATTTTCTTGTTGATTTGTTTTTTTTAATCTTGTGTTAGAGGGGCGCGTGTGTGGGGGGATAGATTTTCTGGTTTCAGGTTCAACCACAAAGTATAATTTAAGAAAAGGAAGAGTGATTAAGTGATTATTAAAACACARCTGCCAATGAAACGTGGCAAAGATGTCCTGTTAGAGGTATTCTGTGAACKTTTTGTTGCGTCATGCTTTGAAGGGAGGAAAAAATTTTCGACTAAGCGGTTGTGAAGAGAAGTTGGCAGTCTTAAGGGGAAAATTCTGGAAAATTTTATGGTTTTACCTTTGATGTGTGATCATCTCTGACTCAGGGGACTTCCTGATGTCAGGAATGGGAGTCGATTGCCTGTCCACTGCCCTGTAACGTGCTGGATTATGACACCAGTGAGTGCTTTTGTAATTTCCTTCTTTTGTGTCCCTAAGTGTAATAGCTCTAAGAAAAAAAGCACAAAATTCTGGACAAAAATGCAGCTATGTTGGGGTGGTTCGARTTTGTTCTGCTAAAGCCTCGATCCCTCTGTTCGTGTTTTGCTTTCAGGAATCTTTACTGTGACATGTTCTGGGTGTGTGTGATCTTGTCCTGAGAGTGTGATTCGTGCAGTGCTGGGATTGTGGCTGTTGTATCTAAACCCTTGAAACTGCAAAATAAAGAGAAATGTAYTCACTGGGTGTGGCCAGAGAGCTTGTGTCAGCTGCATTTTTGCCTCGGGAATCCTACGYGTGTGTAGAGGAGAAATCCTTTTTAATGTTTTCAAAATACATCAAACTGCATTGATCTTCCTTTGACAGGGTGGTGGTCTTTGGACCCAGCAATCTGGAATCRCTGTGTAGGTTAAGAACAATGAAGAGAAGGATTATTTGGCCAATAAATGTGTAGTGTTACGTTCTAAATGTAGAAGGAGCAGATTGTAGGGCAACCTGTATAAATAGCAAAAAAATTTAAAAATTCCACAGCAGATTTTGAGCTGTGCAGATATAATTTAGTACCTCAATGCAAATGATTTGTCAGCTCAGCAGGTCACTGGTAAAAGAAAATAGATTTAGCAGAAATGGAATTTCAATTGCTATCTCTTACTCTTTTTTCCCCCCTCTAGCAGAAAAGACCTTYCCCTTTTCTACCCAGTGTATAATTGTGTTTTGTTGTGCTCTGGTCAAATCAGATGGGTTTGTTTAAAGAAGAATACAAGTAAATTCCAGGCCGTTCAATCTAAGATGCGCAGAATTGTTTTTCACAAGCCAGCAATTAGCTACATGGCAGTCAGAAGAAAATAGAGTTAGGAATTCTACCCTAGCTTTTATTGCATATATGGAGAAGCCTGATATTTTTTGCAGAAATCCTGCAGAGTTTATTTTAAATAAGGAATTAAATCATCACAGGTAACTGACACATCTCTGCATYAATATATATTTTGTGTATCTCTCATCATCTTACATTTGCTCTGAAGGAATACGGGGAAAGCCTTTTGCCTTAAAAGGATTGGTTTCACTATCAGCAATGAGTCAATAGTAATTGTTRCTTGTATTAACTTGTAAGAGGAATGGCAGAATGTGGGACGGTGATTTGTCAGGGCAAGGGAAAGAAACCTGCTTGTACTGTAGGCAAACCTGAAATTTGTGATGTGTTCTTGTAAAGGGCCTTCCATTTGACTGGCAATGACCCAGGATAGTTGTGTTGATAAACCAGCGTGGTTACAAGGTAAAAAAGGGCACTAGAGTGTGAAAAGAGAGGGGAGAGCTCCTCACAATTATGTCTATGGCTGGTACCGAGAGTGCCCTTCTTCAGCAAAAGCCATAGGGAAACCTTGGGATGAGAAATGTGTCTTGGCTTCCATCTGGTGGAGAAATACAGCACTGAAATATCATTTACGCATCCAGGCTGAATTATCACCGCTGACCACAGGCTTGGCCTGTGCCCCCATAGCTTGGCTTTCAGCACCCGCTCTGCGGGCAGCACCGGGAGCGCTGCAACTGCAGGGGAGCGGAGCGGGGCGGGTGGGCAGCCATGCACAAGGGCTGGGTTTGTCCCGGTCCCTGCGATTAACGCAGGGTCTTGGCAGTGCCGTTTGGAAGCGCCAGGGGATTTAAACCGAGCGGCAGAGCGGCATTCCCGCAGTCACTCCATCGGCACTGGAGTGGGATAGGGGGAAAAGTTATCCAAGTGCTGACAGCTGCTGAGGTGGCCATGTAGAGAACAAAGAGTGATTTGTGCTAAGCAGCCATGGGTGCAGACTTGGAGCTGTTCAGGACACACCGGGTTACACCACCCCGGGAATGCCGGCGCCTGCCAGGCTGCCGGCACCGGCCCCGCGAGCTGATTGGTCCGTGCAGGTTGAGCGACAGCCAGTCTGACCAATCGTTGAAGGCCTTGAGCGGAGGGGGCTGCTTCCGCCAGCTGGCTGTTGGGCTATTCCAAGGCGAGATCAGGGGGGGCACAGTTCAGGTTGTAGGCTGCTGTACTCGTGGAAACGTGACGTCTCGGAGAGAAGTCCACGGAATCTGGATTCACTCTTTCCCCTTCCTCTCGTCCGTCTGATTTTTAGKCCCGCTGYGCCCGATTCCTGAAGGGGCTCGCACCCCCCCCACCTCTACTCCATCAGTGGTTTCCCCCACCCGCTCACGCCGGCAGCCTTGTCTCCACCAATGGGAGCGCGGCGCAGCCATGCGCATGCGCAGTCTCGCGGCCGCCCTCGCTCGGAGCGGGCGGGCGGCGGCGGCCAGGGGTCCCCGCGGGCGGGCCGTGGCCGGGGGCTGGCGGCCGGGACGGGCCGTTGTGCGGCCGCTGTGGAGCGGCGGCGCCGCCGCCATGCCCGGCAGGAACAAGGCGACGTGTGGCTACGGCAGCCCGGAGCTTGCGGTGGGGCAGCAGGCCGCGGAGGGCGGGCGCGACGCCGGGGGCCGTTCGCCTCATGGGGACGAGGAAGAAGAGCACGGGGGARCCGGTCCCGAGCACAACCTCGGTGACCCCGACATCGTTAAATCCCCCAGCGACCCCAAGCAGTACCGGTGAGGGCAGGAGGGCAATGCGGGAGGACGAGCCGCCGCCGGGGCAGTCCGGCCGGTCGGTGGGGTGGGCCGGGGTCTGCCCGCTCCGTGTCCCGGGCACTGCCGGGGGCTGGAATTCAGGCTGGTCCCGGTGGCCGGGGGATTTGGGGGCCTCTCTGTGTGTCGGGGGCTGCCCGGTGCGTGTGCGGGCACAGGGCTGGAGGCTCGGCTCTCGTGCCCAGTCTGGTCGGTACTGGGTGTTCTCCAGGCACAGCAGTGCACAGTTGGTGGTTTGCAGCCCTCGGCCAAGCAGCTCCTTTCCGAAAGTGTTAAGTGCAAACTGCGGTTTAAGTATTTCAGAGCAGATCCCAATTTAAAAAGTTACTCTTTCTGTTTTAGATGAGYTTCTAGGTTTTAACGTAAATATGTCTGTGAGTTGAGGCAAAATGCTTTTAGGCTGTCATTTTGCTGGTGAATTTTTCTATTTGAATATTTCTAAGTAATACCCTGGAAAGTGATGAACAAGATCAACTTTCCTGTTCATAGCCCACAGTGGCCATGGCCCAGACACAGCGAGAAACTTAGATGAGAGCTCCAGCAGAGGTTGAGCTTGTTGGGTGCTGTTATGCAGTCTGTTCTTGAAGAGACACTGGTAACTTCTTCCTGTAAAACAGAAGATTATCCAGCCCTTGTTAGAGCTGATGTTTTTTGTTTTTTAAATMTTTACTTTTCTTGATGTCTAATCTGTGCAGCCAGTGGAGAATCTGCTGCCTGAGCCTGGAACTGAATTTTGGRTTTGCAGTGACATTGGCTGACAGTGGGATTCCCTGCTGGTTGCCTGAAGAGGACTGTGCCCATTGGCTCAGGGAGAAACTTGCTCCCTCCCTTCTTGCCCTACTTCCTTGCWGCTTCCTCTGGATCTCTGCCTGCCTCTCCTGATGGCATTCTTACTCATGCTACTTTGTGGCAGCCTCATCCTCCTGCAAAGCTCACAGCTGCAGATGCTGTCAGCTATGGGAACTCCTGCTTTTGCTACCTGAAGCAGCACGCTGGTGGATGAAGCTTGGAAAATCCATTAAAGGCTTTCACTATGTATTCTGAGGCTGAGGAACCTCCTCTGCACGTGAGAATTGGAGAGAGTATTTGCTTATAGCATAAACTAATACCAAAATCTTGCAAAAATCCTACTGGCCGTTCTTAACCGAATTTTTCAGTTGGGAGCAGCGAGTTGCATCTTCTCAGACTGATTTCCCTTTGAAGTGAGCCTGGCACAGCACAGAGATTGTCCTTATGAAAGAGAGGTTCATTGTGGCTGGAAGCAAATGCACCTGAACCTGTGCCCATGTGTGATGTCCCAAACTTCCCACAGGAGTGTCCTGGCAGGTGATGTGATGATGCTGACACACTTTCCTCTCTTCACACCTCAGTGATAAGTGCCCACAGAGGGCTTAGTGTGTCTGTCTGGTGACATCAGCCTTGACTTAATGAAAAATGTCATATTTTGCCTTGTCAAATAATGATCACAAAACCAAAAGAGCTCTGATGTAGATTGCAGGATGTATCTTCAGAAGTGGGTTTGTTGGGACAAAATAATTGTCATGATAAAAATTTGCTTATTAGAGCTGTAATGGTGCAGTTATATTTTCCAAAAAATACATGTTTTATTTACATTCATCCATATATGGAATTTCATGCTCTAGTTTTTCTTGTAATTTGGGAAATTAGAGCATTTCTCTCAGTGTTTACCATGCACTGATACATATTTCAATATTTACTTAGCTTCTAAATAATTAATATAACAAAAAACTTTGACAACAAAATCCTGTTTAAACTTATTCAGGAGGYTTAAACAGTATTTTTAAGAATCTGAATTTTATTTTATGTTTAAGCCTTATTTGCATCAATACTGTATAGTTCTTCAAAAAAGCAATTGGGCTGTGCTTGCTTGTCTCTACCTTTAGCGATTGCATTTTTTGTACTGTATTTTGCATACAAGTGGATATTAGTTACATTTGTCCTTTTCCATTGGACTGAAACATGGAAAAAGTAAAGAACACCTATGTCAGTGGTGCCTCTGCTCAMTATAACCTAAGCTGTTCAGATCATCCTGGAGTGAAATCCGAGAGCCTCCGTGGTTCAGCCGTGTCCTTGCTGCCGGCTGCTTTCTGTCCCATGTGCAACACCCACAAGCCTCCAGATGAGCAATGTAAAATTAGTATAATCTGCTCCATTAGCTTAATGGGGCTGTGTGGAAAAGATCAACAAGAGCTGCYGATACACCTGGCTGAACAGCTTTATGGCACATTGTTCCTCGGGAAGAATAGCCCCATTCTGTTCTCTGCTTTCCACCAGTGCCTGCTGCTCCCTGGGGTTCTCCATGGGCTGTGAAAACCTGCAGAGCAGAGCTGTGTGTGGAGGAGGAGGAGGTGCTGCCTGTGCTGGAAGGTGCTGTCTGGGGCTTTGGCTCTCAGCTGCCCAGAGGCTGAAGCACCCACGTGTGCAGTGTGTGTTTTAGGACATTCAGGAGCGCTGCTGCTGTGTCATGGGACATGTGTACATGATGGGAATGGTTAGCAAACAAGCTTTCAGAATGCAGGTAGATTAACTTCTGTTCCCAGCACTGTCTGTTCCTCCTGCAGTTCTTCAGAGCATCCCTGCAAATTACAGACTCCGTGCTGTAGTTTGGACGAGTCAAAATGTGYTTGTGCTTTTGATGGGAGCAGATTTGTCCTGCTCAGCAGTCCTGCAGCAAGGAAACTGGGTGTGTTCATGGTCGTGAAACCCTGGCCCAGAGTGAGCGCTGTCACTTCCCCTTGGGTGACTGGTCATGAGTCAYAAACTTAACACAGCTATTAGACATTTGTTCATTAGTTTTTTTCATAGGCTTGGTAGTCCARGAGCTGGGTCCACATTGCAAAGTTCTGACCTGGTATAAACTCAGGGGTTGGACTAGATGACCTCTAAAGGCCCCTTTCAACAAAGACTGTTCTGTGATTGTGTTCTGTAACTCAGATTTTTCTGGGAGTGTGGGATGTGATCATGGGTTTGTTTTATTCTAGCTTGCTTTTTTTTTTTTGTTTTTCTGCTGGATCAGATACCACAGGTCTGTATCACACTAGTTCATAGGATGGATCAAGTATTTTCTGGATCCAGCATTCCTTCCTTTCTGCAGCTGATGTACCAGTCAGTGCAAGCTCCTGAGAGGGGTGCTCTGGCTAATTTGACAAATTGTGACTCTTTTTTCAGATTTGATGGTAACTGAATCAGAATGAGGGCTCTTGTAGTGCAGAGCATTGGTGSTTGCTGTCCTCAGTGGGAAATGTTGTAGAAGGGTGCTGCACAGAGGGCTTGTGGGGTTTTATTTTTATATATATACACATTCTCTGTGCATGTATAAACACACACACATAGAACTGTTCATTGCTTCTCAATAGGAACCCAGCCAGCTCCCTGTGAYTTGTTCTATGGAGCCTGCAGAGGAGCTCTCTCCCTTCTAACACTTGAATGCTACRTCTGCAGACCCAATTTAATAGAAAACATTCATGAAAACAAATCAAATCAAATGCTCTGGGGCCTAGTTAGAAGCAAAGACTAAGATCTTAATTCTGTCACATAATATCTGTTTCCAAGAGCCTGACAAGCCTAAGAGAGGATTGAAGTTTGAGTTTGCCTGTTCTGAATGTCTGAAGTGAGTGCTAATAGCTGAAATGTTTCATAAAGAGAGAAATAAAAGCCAAGATCAGGGTGCTTGGCCCTTATGGGGAGAGGGGTTTCTGCTACTGCCCTGAACTCTTCTTATTCCCAGAGCTGTTGAGTAGCAGAAGAGTATTTTACTTTCCTACTATATAAAATTGCTCACAGTCTTGGCTACCATTATATTGTCATTATGAAATCACTCTCAAAGTATCAGAGGAAATAATGAAATCTTTGCAATTCTGAAAATTCAGACTTAGGAAATGAACATATTCATTGCAAATGATTATTCTTTCAGGTATATCAAACTGCAGAATGGCTTATGTGCACTTTTGATTTCGGATTTGAATTACTTGGATGGTGCCCCGGCATCTTCAGAGGAGGAGGAGGAAAATGATGATGAATCTGAAGAGGGCAGTGATGAATATGATGACTCTGGAGCTGAGATCGAAGATGGTAGAGAAGATGATGAGGACTGTGATGATGAAGATGACAGTGATGACAGTGATGATGATAATGAGGATTTCGATGATTCTGATGACAGTGAATTAGAAGAGCTGGCTGAAAAGGAAGAGACCAGAAAGAGAGGTTGTTCAGAAAAACAGGTATGTACTTAAAGCTGTAGGGTGTAAAAATATATAGTGAGCTTTCTTGAGGTCTGAAACCTTGTGATTTTGCATGCAGACACGACCTTTTTATTGTGTCTGTCCCAACTGATTAATCTTGTACTTCTGTCATTTTCCTGAAGTGTTTCTTGAAGCAGCTTTTACTGAGAATGTTGTATTTTCTCTAGTCTGCAGCAGCCCTCTGTGTTGCWGTTGGCAGCTTCTCTGATCCTGAAGATCTGCCTGGATTAGCACACTTCCTGGAACATAGTATGTATCAGCTCCTRTTTCATCTTCTCTACCTTCAGTGCAAAATGAGTGCTGTGTAGCTCTGAATTTCTGAAGTATTTAGTATCATTTCCTAATTTGGCTGAGAATTTAATGAGTTTGTGATTTTATAAAAATACTGACTTAGTAAGAAATTCTTAATATGGGAGAAGGTGTCTCATACCYTTTGGCAAGCTATGCATTAACTTATATCAACCTTATTTGTTACCTATTAAATTGAGGGGAATTGTGTTACCTGTGGCTTTATAAACCAGGCAGAAGTTACAGGCCTTTGTCTCCTGTTATATAAAGGGTGATGAATTAGTAATATGGACACAGAAACCACGTGAAGTTTCTGACCAGATGTGTCTTAAAATACTGCTCTTGCCTGACTGAGGCCAGGCCTGCCTGGGAGGGGAGATTATATTGGTTTCTGCAGTTTCCTCTGCCTGTGAGCTGTGGGTCAGTCACAGAGGGGTTGCCATAGCTGCATTTAAATGAACACTTTCATGTCATCCTGGTAATGCTGGTGATTTTTTGTTACAGTGGTGTTTATGGGCAGTTTGAAGTACCCAGATGAGAACGGGTTTGATGCATTCCTGAAGAAGCACGGGGGTGGTGACAATGCCTCCACGGACTGTGAGAGGACAGTGTTCCAGTTTGATGTGCAGAGGAAGTACTTCAAAGAAGCCCTGGACAGGTARCTTTGTATGAGTGGTGATTAGATGTTAATTAATGTCTGCATGTACCTCAGGAGTTTGGGTGTAGCTGTTCAGTTCTTCATTTTGGGCTGATCAAGGCTGTTGCTGAACTTCCATAGATACCTGCACTACAGCAGTGATACTGAATATAGGGAAATGCTGTTTCCCTTTTGATATGTTGCTGGATTTTTGCTGTAGTATTATGTAGGACCCATGTACAAGTCTTAATGCATGCAGCTGTTTGATTGTTTTGGCAGTCTCAAACTAGTAGCACTGATGACAGGAGAAATGTTATGCAACGTGACAAMTGATCAGAGGGGAAGTGCTCCCAGAATCCCAGTGACTCATCCTTTGAAATGTCTGTCCTGCTAGAGTTACTGTTTCTTCTAAATTGTTGTTAGTTTGTTTCAGGCAGCCTTCAGTGATGGTACAACGTGTGTCTCAAAGGGAGACATTTAACCCAGTGCAGGTTATTCACTGCTGAATGTATCYTTTGTAGAAAGTGCTTAACTTGCTCTTTTGTGCTGTGGGATGTATTGGAACAGCAGAGCTCCACTGGTTGGCATGGTTTCCTTTAGTGAGAGGAATTTCTCATTCATGGGGGCACAGTTGAATGTTCTTGATGCCATAAAATATCTCAGGAGGAGAGTAGACTCTACTGCAAATTTACTTTGCAACTGAGAGCAAGTGTTTGCACATTTTTCCAAGTATGACCTGAATTTCACTTTACTAGGCTACATTCAGCTCCCATTTGCAGATTAATCCAGCTTTTTTAGATGTTTGGAAGTGTGAAAGAATCAAAAAATATAATTGCAGTCTGTCACAACAGCTTGTTTAGTGCARAGGAAAACAGAAATTAGGAGCTCTGTAGAACAGCCTCCCATACAGAGAAGATAAATGAGTGCTGAGGATGAATTCTGCTCATTCAAGCACTTGTGGATCTGAAGAAATTAAAAAACATCACCTTTCAGCTGTGTTTAGTGTAATGGGTCTTCTACTGTAGGAGTCTGTCAGCAGTGTATTAATCTTAACATTTTATTACTCTTAACTCTTTGAAGATGGGAAGCCCTGCCATTTGGTATTTTATGRGATCACAAAACTGGCTTTTATCTTTCTTTAAGACACTGTAGTAAGGGATTACATAGTTTGTAGCAAGACAAGCAGCTTTATAAACCAAAATAGTAGATGTTGGATTTAATTGTTGTTTTTTTGCCCTAGCTTAGTAGACACTGAAGACAATTATATGAATTTTTCTGTTCCATAGGTGGGCACAGTTCTTTATTCACCCATTAATGATCAGGGATGCAATAGATCGAGAAGTGGAGGCTGTGGACAGTGGTAAGTAAGAGAATCTTTTCATGTGTGCTTAGCCCATCTTCTTAAAAGAAAACCCACTTTGTAACACTGTTTATTGGTTTCTATGGTGAACTCCCATTCTGAGCACTTCAGTCAAGTTCACCTAAATCATCAGAGAGGCTAAAYTCTTGAACTGAAGCTTTGTGGACGTTAGTGGCTGTTAGAGGAAGAAAGACTGAATGTAGTGCCATCACTGCGAGAATTTCCCCTCACATTTTCATTAATTGGAAATTAAKAATCTGCAGTGGTTTGGCAGTAAGTGGCAGGGTGGTTTCATGAGTAAATGGATGCTCTGCAGTGAACAAAAGGCCTTTAGATCAGCCCCAGTGCTCTCTCTAGTCCTGTCCAGAGTTTGTACTTGTTTTTACTTGTCTGCTTGTTCTAACACCTGAATAAGTACAACGTCACTTCCCAGAAGGAAATTAAACCAGGTGTAGAAGTGAGTGGAGTGTTGGTTTTCTAATATGTGATGGAGAGTCACAGACTGCCTATAAAAACTTCACTGTTTTAGGAAAAAAGTGGKTTTAGCAGATATACCAACTGCAGATATTTATTCCAAGTCATTATTTGTCTTCTGGCAAGGAAAATTGAGCTATTTGATCTTTGAATTTAGATAGAAGTCAGCATAAACAAGGACCTGCCTTTGAGTTAAGGTGTGGTTCTTCAACAGCTTCTGCCATTTTCCACCTTGGTGGTGCAGAACCAGTTCTTCCCTTGCAGTGACTCTGGGATAATGTGCTGCCCACTAAATGGTGTCAGCTTGCTGAACTGGCTGCAGGAGAGCCCAGCCAGAAGAATTCATTTACAGCTCTGCTGTACATGTTTCTTATTACCAGCAAAAACAGGAACAGGAAAATGCAGTTCAGGAGAGTGAATTCTTGATTTTGGCAGAGTTCCAAAYTTAGATTAATGTAAGCTGGTTGTAGAACTTCATTTYTGGAAACTACTTTGCTCACCTTTCAGTTTCCTATTTCRTWATCAGGCTAGAGGTTGTWCTGTGTGATATATGGTAGAAGCAGGATTATGATTGTTCTCTGCCTCTTTCTGCAGAGCCTGATCTTGTATAATATTGGTAGCCTTTTGCTCCCACTGAACTTAACATATTCAGACAGGACAGGCTGGGGCTTTACATGCTTTTCYTTCTTATCCCTTTCTTTATTTCTCAGCAATGAGCTACATTTTTCCTGTTATATTAATTACTGCTACCAAGTCCTCTTTTTTATYCTATTTCACTACTTCATCATATATKAAAAGAAATTTCAGGCTGTATCTGTGTGCTATGTCTCCTTTTGAGTTTGGTTGGGATTTATGCTTTGTTTTGTGGGAACACGACCTCAAACTTTGATGCATGCCACTGCAAATTCTTTAAATTAACAGAGTATCAGCTAGCAAGGCCCTCTGATGCAAACAGAAAGGAGATGTTATTTGGGAGTCTTGCCAGGCCTGGACATCCTATGAAGAAATTTTTTTGGGGTAAGTCCTGAATTTCTGTTATAAAATGTTATAAGATGCACTAACATGAACTGTGATATCACAGCAACCATTAGCCTTGTTCAGAAGAATTAGAGCAATTATCCATTTTACAGGAAAATGGTTGGGAATAAAAGCAGCTGTCTGCTTTTTAAGATACTTTCCATTCTGGTACTGCTTTTTGCTGATGTTAAAGCTGGGTTGCCTGAGGTATATAATCATGGAACTTTCTGTTAGCACAAAGGTGGTGCTCTCTGAGTCATTTCCATCTTACTTTAGATTAAGGTATTTTTCTACTGAAAATTCCTGGAAAAATAAATTATTTCTGGATTTTTGCATGAGGAGGCTTTTCAAAGTAAATAATTCACTGTTGAACTTGCAGGAGTTAGACCTTCACAGCCATGTGAGGGGAGCAGAATGGACAGGGGGAGGGGAGCAATCCTTGTCCTGGACAATCCAGTCCTTGCTTCCTCACCCCTGTGGTGCTGGTGAATGTGTAAATGGCAGTGTGATGGGTATTAGAGTTACCAGCTTTGAAATATAGCTCATTTTTATAAATGTCTGTGGTGACATACATTGAAGTTCATATTTCCTCCTCTTTTCCCTCTGCTGTTTTGCAAGTTCCATTGGTGAGGGAATAGCTGGCAACACACAGTGAGCTGTGCACCATGTGGGAGATGTGATATTGCAGGAGGACTCTGTCCTTCCTTGTCACAAAAGTATCAACTGTCCTTGGAATAAGAACCAGAAATCAGAAGATAGTACATTTCACTCCAAAGTTCTATTAGATATTTTTAATGTGCTATATGATGACTAGACCTAGGGAGGAAAATAAATTCTCAGTCAGTCCGGTCTTGCTGTAAGCATTGTGTGGATAACTAACCCTGCCTCCCCTTTGATGTTTKCAGGTAATGCAGATACACTCAAACACGAGCCCAAACTGAACAACATTGACACCTACACCAGGCTGAGGGAATTCTGGCAGCGCCATTACTCTGCCCACTACATGACTTTAGTGGTCCAGTCTAAAGGTAACATCAATTGCTGCTTAAAAACAGCCTCCTTGCTGCTGTTGGTGCTGTTGGAACCAGGCCAGCTGTAGCCCAAGCCATTCTAGTGCCTTGTCCAGTCCTGCAGAGGGKATTTATATGTAGATTTTAGCCTGGTTTCCAAATAGAACAAGACCTGAGCACTTATCCTGTGTTATTGTCATCCTGCCACTTCTTGAGGAACGTTTAACTGAAGCTGCTGAATAGGTTCCATGTTAACACAGAAGGGAAAATCTCAAAGATAACATTTCAGAAATAATYTTGTGAAATGAATGGTCAGACCACTTAAATGAATTAATGCCACTGATTTCTCTGCCATCAACAGTGAAACTCCACAGAAAGTGATGGGGAGATTCAGTCTCCCAGTTGTCTTGTTTGTCTAGGAGGAATAGAGATTCTATTTTTTCCCCATAGTCTGAAAAATTTATGCAAATAGATTTGAGTTTCATTTCAGTGGAGAACAGCAGAGCTATGGGTTGTTTGTGCTGAGAATTGAAAAACACATTTCTAAGAAGTTACTCAAGTTATGTTTAGGTTTAGGGAGGGGTTTTGTCAAATGTTAAAACTGATTGCAGTTCCCATCTGTAAAATGGAGATGGTAATAATAGAGGCAATATTTGTTCYTTGTTTTTAATTTTGATCTAGACAGTAAAACGCTTAGGGTGCTGAATGCTTTTTGCGTAGTCATTAACCCAGTAATGGACTGTAATATTTCTTAGGGTGGTTGGGAGGAAAATGGTGGTAATGATAACCAGCCGGGTCAACTTTGTAAACAAGCAATTTCTAATTTTTATTTTAAAAACCTTTAAACTTCTGGTCTTGGCTCATTTCCCTTAGAAAAGAGGATAGGAAGAAGGAATCCTAAGCACTGGGAAAACTCCTGTGTATAATCTGGAGAGTAATGGAATGAGTTRCAAGTGCTGGTGATTTTGTAGATTCCCAAGACTGTAATTCCTTTTCACAGTCGCTCCAGACACTCCTGAACGTTAAATCCCAGTTGTGTCAGCCTGGGATTTGAGCATTGTATACAAACTCAGAGCTATGACCATGGATACAGCTCAGTGAATGTTAAGAATTGGCTCAAACTAACAGCTTTGAAGTTTATAATTTTGAACTTTGCAATTTTCAAATGCACTGACTTGCAGCCTCTTTAGAATAACTGAACTGATGAGATAAGATTTGTCTTAGATCTTCAGGAAATTGCATTTCTGTCTTTCTTCACTCTCTTTTAGAAACACTGGATACATTGGAAAAGTGGGTGACAGAAATCTTCTCTGAGATCCCAAATAAGTAAGGTTCTTTTGATGTATAAAGACTTGCAAATGATAAAATTATCTGTTCTTAAAATATTCTTGAACAAAGGCCTTACTGGAGAAACAAAGGAAATCACCATTTGTTAATTATCTGGGAAAAATAAAGGCAACTTTTTCAGTTAAAGACCAACATTAATTGTTCCAGGAAGATTTTCTTTCTGCTTAACAATTATTTAGGCTGGGAGTTGTGTTAACTTGAAGCAGTGTTTGCTTAATATGTGCTGATGCCTTGATTTTATGATAAGTCCTTCGGACCTAGATTATTATTTCACATTGCTAATCTTTGCTTTGTGTCAAAAATAATTGGAAGCAAAATTAATTAACACAAAATTAATTAATTAATATCTGGAATTTAAGTGCCATCCTTAGGGTGGCAGTGGGTTAGAAATAAGTTTTTTTAAAATTGTTCCCAATTTTAATGGTAACCTAATATGCTCCCTATAAWGGGGGTTCTTCAAGAGCTTTGTTAACTTGAAAAGCATTTTATTTCCCCTCCAATTTTCTGCTTTTGCAAGATGTTTGTTTCCGTGGTGCTTCAAAATGCTTTTGTGAGACAGATTTGTCTCTCCTGGCCACCCCGTTCCTCATTCCTCCTGCCCCACAAGAAATCCATGAGGATTCCTTGAGTCCAGGGTGATCTCAGTTCTCTGTAGTTGGCTGTACAAAAGCTCTGTGCTGTTGCTGTCTGGTAGAGAAGGAAGGGGRGCTGTTGGTGTTTAATTCTCAGTGGTGTGGGAAGTGCAGATGAACACCAGGCTGCCTCCTCTGGGGCTGGGTGGATTCTGGGCTGCTCCCTTGGGAAARGGCCATTTTCAGGCTCTCTGCTGTGCTGTCAGAGCTGTGCTGGTTGTGTCTTTGAATATCTSRTTGAACCCTTTGAACCCCTGCCAGTAACATCACACTTCCATTTTGCTTTTAAGTGGTTTACCCAAACCCAGCTTTGGCCATCTGACTCAGCCTTTYGACACACCAGAATTTCACAAGCTTTACAGAGGTAAGTGAAACAGATTTAAATGTTATGAAAACCTGAATACTGAAAGAAATTTTCTCTGAGTAATTGTGTGTGGTTTTGAATAGCTTTTAACTATTCTGTGCATTATGTAAAAATTCTTATCTCTATCTAATCTTATATATTTATAATTAATCAATTTATTTGTGTCCAGTTGTTCCAATCAGGAAAGTTCATTCATTGACCATAACTTGGGCACTCCCCCCACAAGAACAGTTCTACAGGTATGCTGTGCTGCATTTTACTTCTACCATGTTTAAGCTGTGAATAATTCATTGACTTTACAACAAACCAAAAAATCTCATTTACTTGTCTAACAGATTACTTTGGTTCATCTAGGAGGGCATTTAAAAATGAATTAAACTGCGGCAGATATGGTTCCCTATGCTCACTGACTCAATCAGTCATTATGTTCTGAACTCCCACACTTTTAGCTTATTATCTTAATTCTGCCTGAAAATGCAAAACTTGCCATGAAAAAAGAGACTGCTTATTTTAGTCATTAGCCCAATGATTTGAATGCTTTCTGTGAAATGTCTTACCTCCTGGCATCTAATYTCTTTCAAATTTTCTCTTAGGGTGAAGCCTCTTCATTATATTTCCTGGCTGGTGGGACATGAAGGCAAAGGCAGTGTTCTTTCTTTCCTTAGGAAAAAGTATGTGGTTTTTAAGCATGGTTATTAAATGCTTTGATCTCATTCAAATACAGATAAACTATTTTGTGCATTTACATGTTCTATAGATAGAAAAGCAGGCCAAGCCTGCCTTTTTGTATCAGTGTTTTGTGGTGATATTCTCTAAGTTGATGAACCCARTAAGAAATAAATGGGTTTGTTTGTCTGTGATTCATGGATCTGTATCTGTGACTGATCTTTGAGACCTTCAAAGGATAACTTATTTTTTCACTGTTTTACTTAAATTCTATATCCTGAGGTCACATCCTTAAGTTGGAAAAGCTTTGTGTAAACTGTAAATGGATTGAAAGCTATAAAAATAGCTATAAATAAAGCTATTATATGCTACTGTAATTGAGCTCAAACAAAGCTGAAATGAGTAATCAATAAGTACCTTTAACTGTTCCATAGGTTTTGGGCCCTTGCATTGTATGGAGGAAATGGAGAGACAGGRTTTGAACAGAACTCCACTTACTCCATCTTCAGCATTTCTGTGACTTTGACTGATGAAGGTTACAAGCACTTCTAYGAGGTATGGTTTCCTGCCGTTTGTTTTTCCTGCTGTTTCCCTAATGTCTGGGAAAATGATTGTGTTTCTTTCTGTCTGCAGGTGGCCCACGTTGTGTTTCAGTATGTGAAGATGCTGCAGAAAAGGGGGCCRGATCAAAGGCAAGTGTTTGCCACTCTATCAGATGTTTGTGATCTCGTCCTCCATCATTCTGTTGTTTGTAGTGTTTGCATTTTTTGTGGAGTTRCTGGAGCAGAAACAGGGAGTCGCTGGTAAAGCTTGTCTGTGTGGGTAACATGTCAGTTTAAAAAGGAATTTTTTCCATGTTTGTGCTTGTTTCTTGGTGCTTTTAGGTTGATTTAYTGTGATCTGATTCCCTAAGCTTAGTAAGCTGAGCTAGTGTAGATGTTAGGTGCAGTTTTGTGTTTATTTTAAATAAATTTGTTGAGCCGGATATGTGGTGTTCTGCGCTCAGCCTTCATGTTAATTTGGTATCAGATTTTGACTCTTCTTAGTTAACTCYCTTCCTCTGTGGAAAATAAGAGAACTTTCTGCCAGTTCTGAGAAATGCCATTTTGGGAAGTGTGTTTAATRCTGGCTTCTGTGTCTTGTACCTGAATGAATCACTGATCTCACCATTGCTGCTTTTCCTAGAAGGCTCCTTTTTTAAGGTTCTTGATAAAAGTTGTGGAATAATGGAGAAAATCCACTTTTATTCTCTTCTTCCTCCTCTGCAGAATATGGGAAGAAATACAAAAGATTGAGGCCAACGAATTTCACTATCAGGAGCAGGTATTTATCCCCTGTTACATGTTGACATAGGTAAACCATTAAAAGTATGACTTTTTCGTTTTGAAACACATTTTCAGAGTTCTATTCGAGAAGAAACAAATTGTGCACTTAATGTTGGTCTCTCAGAGGACACTGAATATTAGATATTGTTATGAAATATATGTGATTTAATAATTGAAACTAAATGCTGTCACAAGCACAGCATCCAAAATATGCTTAACATACCTGACTGGTCAAACTCTTCTCAGAAGAGAAAATTGATATCTTGGGTTTCTAATTATGTGRCAAACAGCTTTATTTCTTTGCTCGCAGACAGATCCAGTTGACTATGTGGAAAACCTTTGTGAGAACATGCAGTTGTTTCAGAAGGAGGATTTTCTGACAGGAGATCAGCTCTTGTTTGAATACAAGCCCGAGGTAAATGTTCTTTGAACTCTGATTATATGTTTTGCTGTTAGGAAAATGTACGTACTGTGTCATATAGGCATTTGTAATTAAACATAATGCAGGCACAGGTTTTGTGTTAATTKAAACACKTTGTGTATTCAGAAAGCAAATCTGTTTTGTAAGCTTGTTATGTCTTGTTCTTCCTACATTCCGACTGGGAAGTTTTTGCTGGATCATGCAGGCAGAGCTGMATTTGAACTGAAATGTTGTTTGGGCCTTGTAGATCATTGCTGATGCCTTGAGCCAGCTCAGCCCTCAGAGAGCCAACCTGGTTTTGCTGTCTGCTGCCAACGAGGGCCAGTGTCACCTCAAAGAGAAGTGGTTTGGGACTCAGTACAGCGTGGAAGGTAACACAGCAGCAGGAGCTGGGAATTRCTGCATTAGGGATAAGAATGGGTGACAGCACAGAACACAAGTGCATGGAAGCAGGGAAATGAATCCTCAGTGCTTTACTGAGCTCACCATTAGTCTCTGTGCCACTCAGTGACTGCTCTTTGTTTGCTGTCAGTTGATTCCCCCTCCCCAGCCTGCAGAGGGTTATTTTGGGAGGCAGAGGGCCCAGCGAGCTCCTCTTGGCTGCCATTCAGGGGAAAGAACACCAACAATGGAGCCCAGGCTGTAGTGGGAGCTGAGTTACTAAGGCAGACTTGATTTGCTTTTTAATAGGATTGCTTCAGTCCTGCTCCAGAAGATTTTGTGGGAAGGGATTTAGAAAGAGTCCTGGTGAATGGGGTGACRTTAAGAAACTCTGTGAATCTCTATGGAGATAGGGAAAAGATGACTGGAATTAGGATGGCCTTACCTTCCTATGGAACTAATGCATTTCATGGTTTTTTAYAGATATTGACAAGTACTGGAGTAATTTATGGGCCAGTGACTTTGAGTTAAATCCRGATTTACACCTTCCAGAAGAAAACAAATACATAGGTAAGGCACCTGGGAATGAATGAAATCTTCCCTAATGATTTATTTGAGAATATGCTGTGGTTTAGAACAACCTGAACTGGTACCAGCCTGTTTTTGCAAATTAAAAAAACATGAGCACTCTGTTCAGCTTGATTTTATTTACTGTTCTTTTATTTATAAGCTTAAGAACTGAGTTATTTTAAGGTAYATAAACTTGCAGATCATACAGCCATAACAGAGCAGGCCTCACAGTCAGTGAGAGTTTAACAGAGCTCAGACACCTTAGAAGAGAATTTATTTGCTTAATGCTCCTGTTTCTGAAAGCATCTAAATGCCATCTGGATTTGTTGCCAAACCAAATTAAATGAAAGCCAGGAGTTGTGTCCTGGATGGAATGTAATGCCACCACTTCTGCTCTGCTTCTGAAAAATCGATGTTCTCAGGTCCAGGATAGTACTATCACAAATAATTTAGAAAACTGGAAGGCAAAAGCGTATTTTTTCATACTTTTGAAGACTTAGATGAATTCAGCCTGATTGTGTCTGTGAAAAACACTAAAATGTGGTTTTGGTGTGGTTTTTCTCTTTGTTAGCCACTGACTTTGCTCTGAAAGTTGCTGACTCTCCTGAGACAGAATATCCGGTCAAAACACTCAGCACACAGCAAGGCTGTCTCTGGTACAGGAAGGATGATAAATTCAAAATCCCAAAAGGTAAATGTCTGAGGGCTTTCTGAATAGCAAGTGCCTGTTTCTACCAGCTGGAATTTATTTGAGGGCACATAACTGGTGGAAATGTTCACCATTTAAACCAAGCACCTGCTGTCAGCTCTTCCATGGTCCTTTTGATATGTTTATTAGCTACAACAAAAGGAAGCAGGTGAACTAAGGCAACAAAGGCACCCTGCTGATACCTGAAGTTAAAAAGTGGAATCACTGAAATTTACTGACTTCTGAAGGTCTAACTGGGCAAACAGGATTGGKCAAACAGAATATGCTGCTGAGTCAAGGGCTTGAGCAAGAAGGAGAACATTAATTAGAAGGTTTACAGGCTCTTCTATAGAAAGAGGAAAATACAGCCTGGATCTGAGACAAGGGTGTAAAATATATTACTGCTTTCAAGCAAAATGCCACAATTTTTAGTGTCTCTTAAACAGATGTTTTGTGGAGTTTTGTTTTTCTATTTATAGTGGCCGTGCCCTGTGAGAATTCTGCAAAGCACAGCTTTGTTTTCTAATATTTAGTACTTCAAAGGGAAGATTTTTGGAGTAAGAAGGAGAAGTGTTTAATGATGACTTAAAATAAGAAAAGAAGTATTGTAGATGAATGACCATTCTCATTATACTCAAATTGTGGCCAAAGAGCAACTTGATAGAAATATATTTGACTTCAGAAAGCTGTCACTTTCTATACAATTGCTGATTTAAATTTCTTTTTCCTCACCAGGTTATGTTCGATTCCATCTGATCTCTCCATTGATTCAGCAGTCTGCAGAAAAGTGAGGATTATGTTATTTATGCTTACCTTRTAGAGTAACTAAATTACCATACCTGGTGAAAAACCAGGAAGATACTTTAATTTTAAGCAGGAATAGAATAAGGTGTCATTTTCTCACATCCTTACACTTTCCTTATGGTTTGATCTGCAGTTTGGTGAGGGTGGTTCAGCAGCAGGTCCTGCCTGTAGCCACAGATGTGTAAGGAGTTGTATTATTCCCCTGGGCAAGTTTGGGAAAAAATAATGTAACAGCAGCAGTGCTCAGTGAAGGAGCTGGTCCTGAAAAGAGCAGCCCACAGTCCTGTCCTGACCCAGCATCCTGGGAGCCTGTGGGAGCTGGAGTCTTATACATTCCAAGGAATAATTCAATGTCCACATAATTTTTAARTAGTGTTGTGTACTTTCTGGACAAAGTACATTGTGTACTTTGCATTCTGTATTTCTGAGGACTTTTTTTAAAATTTCTTTTTGAATCTCATTTTACACAAATTCCATTTCTGTTGGAGAACTCCYTGCATGTACCATCAAACTCATCGAGCTTGACTTTTATTTTAGTCCATCCTTTTTTTTTTCTTTTATTTTAACCCTCTGCCCTTTCTCCCTGCAGCATAGTTTTGTTTGATACRTTTGTAAACATCCTTTCCCACAACCTTGGGGAACCAGCTTATGAAGCAGACGTGGCTCAGCTGGAATACAAGCTGGTGGCTGGAGAGTATGGCTTAATCATCCGAGTGAAAGGATTCAATCACAAACTACCTGTAAGCTCTGCTTTGCAGCTTTGCAGTGTGGGGGCTTTTTCTCCCAACAGCTGCAGCTTTGAATGCCTGGATGGGGTATTTTAAATAGAAAAAAYTGTCTCTGATTCTGTACAGGGTAATGCAGCAAATGTGCTGCTTTTTCTTGTGCTTACACGTATAGAAATGCAGTTGTGTGTGCTTACACAAGCTCAAATTACTGACATGAGGCTTAAAAGAAGTAATAACTGTATCTCCATTAAGATTTAACAGCTTTCCCTATAAAAATAGTGTTGTGTCTCCCATGGCCATAAAAAGTATTGGAGCCTTTCCATCTCTATTTGCACTCTGTCTGAAGAGGGGTATCTGAAAACAGGTTTTGTTTTCAATTTGACTTTGGAGATCCAGCTTCTAACGTGCTCATTTTGGGTGCAGATTTTCTGTGTTGGCTTGCTAAGAKGATTTGGGAATCCCTGTTCCCATTCCCTACATGCTGGCCATGTGAGACATGGCAGGCACAGAAAGGACACAGTGACAATCACAGGAGACAATCATCAGCTTTCATTGCAACAGCTTGACTGGAGCTTTAAGATCATCAATCATCTGTCAGACTTATTAATGGGAGTTTTAACAGAAAAAGCAAAATATGCATAAAGCAGGGCCTTAATATTCTCTTTTTTAATCCTGAATGATGTCTCTGTTGTGATGTCATTGTGCTGGTCAGTTGTAAAAGGAAAAAATGGAATATCACACAGAGAAATGTTGGGAGTTTCAGGCTTGATTTGTTTCAATACAATGTGGAAACTCCTATTGATTTGGGATATTGAGCTTATGCACTGTTTAAAAACGCTGCCCTTGTGAAACTGTCATTTGGGATAGAATTGTTTAGTGAAGAACATCTGGCAGAACTGAGGAATTTGCTTTAGTAATGCTGCGTGTCTCAGTAATGATGATTTTATATTATTGTATAGCATTAAGTTGAAATTGGTTCTTAAAAAAAAAGACAGAAAAACCCAACTTAAAACCATTCTCTTTACAGCTTCTATTTCAGCTCATCATCGATTACTTGTCTGACTTCAGTTTTACTCCAGCAGTCTTTGAAATGATAACAGAGCAGCTGAAGAAAACCTACTACAACATCCTCATTAAACCCGAGACGCTGGCCAAGTGAGTTCTGGGGGAGGGCAGCAGGGGCTCAGGTTGAGCTGAGGAGCTCAGGGCTCCCTGCTCTGCACTCACAGGGCTTGCTCCAGGCTTTGCTGGTAGCCCAGGGAGCCCCAGCAGCTCTGCAGGCAGCAGGTCACCCCGTGGGTCACACTGGACAGCCAGGGCACGCTGTCCTGCAGTGTCCTGGAGCCAGCAGGGCTGCTGAGGGAGGGCATGGGATCCTGTGTGCAGTCAGAAATGGCATGTGGCATCCAGCAGATCCTGAGTGCTGTGGTTTGTTCCCCTCCTCCCTGCAGGGACGTGCGGCTCCTGATCCTGGAGCACGGCCGCTGGTCCATGATCGACAAGTACCAGACACTSATGAGGGGCCTCTCCATCGACGCCCTCTCGGCCTTCGTCAAAGCCTTCAAGTCTCAGCTCTTCGTGGAGGGTCTGGTGCAAGGGAACTTCACCAGCAAAGTGAGTAGAGCCCTGGCAGCTGGGGGCTCACGGTGTGCTCAGGATGCTCAGGCTGGCTGCAGTCTCCTGGCTACTGGGCTAACACCTCAGCAGTGCTTGTGTGGGTAAGCCAGTGGCAGTCCAGAGTTGCCAGTTTGAACAAAGGTTTCCAGGAATTTGGATTTAAACTGCAGACAAGAAAAAGTGTAGTAGATTTATGCCTGTAATCCATTTCTCCTGTTGCGACCATTTTTTATATTGTTTCGTGTATTGATGTATTCGATATGGAATACAGTGGTGCCACAGGAGGAGGCTTCCCTCAAAGCACATTTGTCCTGGGAATTGGTTGAACCTCACTGAGTTTCAAACACATGGAGCACTCACTGAAGGCTCTGAGGTTAACTGGTGCTATTTCTTTGGCTTGTGCTTTCTCCTTCTGGAGAAATTACAGTGCAAAAAGCAGCTCCTTCTGCTGCAGAGGATTCTGGGGGGACTGGGGACAGGGTGAGTGAGCAGGGATGTAGGTGGCAGGACAGAGCTCAGCTGTTCTTGGCTTGGGGGCCACTCTTAAGTGCTGCTCTGGGGTATGGTTGTGAATTGGGGTAATAATTCTCTCCTAAATAAAACTGATGTCTTTGCTTTCTTTCCTAGGAAGCAAAGGATTTCCTGAATTATGTTGTTCAGTGAGTATCTCTTGACTCTCTAATTGCTTATTATATGGAAACTCTAATCAAGATAAGATTGTTTTCTGGAGAAGGGGGTCAGAGTGGGAGTGATGCAGAAATTCCCTTCTTCCTTATGGAATATATTTGCAGGAGGTGATTGTTGACAGTGGCAGTTTAAGCAGACATATTCTGGTTTGGGGAAGGGGAAAATAACAGCAGACAAAACACGTAAATGTGTGGGTGCTGCTCTGGTTTTGGCCAAGACATGATTGGTGTTTGATGTTGTGCTGTTTGTGCTCCCCAGAAAGCTCCAGTTCGATCCCCTGGCCCATCCCTGCCCTGTGCAGTTCCGGGTGGTGGATTTGCCAAACACCCACCTGCTCTGTAAGGTGAAAACTCTCAACAAGGGCGATGCCAACTCCGAGGTCACAGTCTATTACCAGGTAACGTGTGCTGGGAGCTGGGTTAATGCTGTGGTGGCTTCCTGGTGTCCCCACTTCTGATTTTTTGGGCTGGGTTGGGCCTCTCCCCTCGGGGAAAACCAGAACTTTCCCCATGTCCCTGCTGAGAATTGTCCCYCAGTGCTGCAGTCCAGGTTGAGGTGTGTGCCACAAGTCACCTTGGCCTGAACAATCACACCTAATGCCACAAACCCACCCAAAATTCTTCATTCTTTATCCAGTCAGGTGCCAGGAACTTGAGGGAATACACCCTTATGGAGCTGCTGGTGGTAAGTTTGTGTTTRTTTCCTAACTCTGTACAGTGCCTCCCCTGTAAAGTGCTTGGAGCTGAGGCCACGGGGCTGACTGGCCCCAAATTCCGGGTGGGTGGGGGTCCYCAAACTGCTGCAGTGCTGGACAGCACAGGAGAGTTCTTGTAGCTCCCACCCCACAGGACTGTGCCCTCTTCATGCAGTGGTTGTGTCTGGACAGGGACACTTCAGTGTCCACACATTGGGGCTGCAGGGCAGTGTCACTTTGCTGTAACTTTGTGCTGTTTCAGATGCACATGGAGGAGCCTTGCTTTGATTTCCTGAGGACCAAGCAGACCCTCGGGTGAGTTCACTGGAGAGGAATTCTGCACCTTCTCCTGCACTCCTGCTTTTACTGTTCTCTGGTGTTTTTACTCTGGAACCCCTTYCTGCACAGTGGCCAATTCCTGAATTACTGTAATGGAAACTGCAACATCAACACCTCAAAACAAAAAGCATGCATCAACACAAGCTACAAAACAAGTTGCTTTTGATTCCTGTAAAAATTGCATCTATTTCCAGCGTGTTAACTCAGAATTATTCAGCAYAAAGTTGTTCCTTCCACTTCCACACTCGGCCTACCCTTCCCCAGGGCTGTTTTCACAGCAGCTCTGGGTGCTGAGCAGCCTCCCTCAGAGTCACCCTGCTACCTCAGGAAACTGGAGCAGGCTTTTCACAGCTCYGGGTCTCTCACTCTGCTTATAGATTAGTTTGCAGGAACACAAACACTCCTAAGCTTAAAAGGATATCCTAAAGCTGAGAAAGCACGGAAATGCAGCAATGCAGAAAAAAAATAGGACTGTTGCAAATTTAGATGKGAGATTTTTCTGTCTAAAGTACCAACACTATTTTAGTGTTGCAGTATTCCTGTGAGTGAAAATTTAATTGTGGCTGTGGAATGACTTTGTTTTGTCCTTTTTGTTTTAAGCTACCACGTGTACCCCACCTGCAGGAACACTTCTGGGATTCTTGGTTTCTCAGTCACAGTGGCAACCCAGGCAACGAAATACAAGTAAGTGCTCTGTGGGGAAAATTCTTCACTACTCCCAGCCTTGGCTGTGGGAGGCATCTGCTCCCAGGTTCACTCCTGTTTCAGGCCATGAAGGCTTTTTAAAATTCAGGGGAATGTCAGAAGGGGCACTGCTGCCAGTCACAACATCCTGACTCGAAACCAATACCTGAATAAAGCAATAGTCTTAATCTTCTTAAAACGGAAAGGTCCTGACTTAAATGGGAAAAGTAATTTCAGGACTGAGTAAAACATTCCTCTGGCCTTTTGAAGCTTTTGTGCCAGGAGAGTTCAAATCCTGTAACTCCAGTTTAGCCATTCCTGTGCTCATGTTCAGCAGGCACAGCACTRTTATGGTTTTGTACAAAGCTGGGGCTTTGAACTACAGGTATTTGACCTGCCAGAGTTGAAGGGTTATTAGAAAAAGGTACAGCTTGTGAAAATAATACTGTATCAGTGAAAGCTTAATGAGCACAGAATGCTGCTGCCTCTGTATTTTCCATTTGGACACTTCCATTACTGAGGTGTGTGTCATCAGTGAAGGTTTTAATGTGTCCAAAGCCTCAGGATCCATCCCGTTTTCTTTCAGTCCTGATCCTACAGCCCATAACTCTGTGCAGGACTCGGGGCTGCAGCTGGGGGTTCTTCTTCTCCTTAGTATTGTTATGGGGATTTTTTTTTTCCATTTTTTCCTGCCTGATTTAATTATTTGACTCTCTTTTAGTACTGAATTGGTTGACAGGAAAATAGAGGAGTTTCTTTCTTGCTTTGAAGAAAAACTCAAGGATTTAACTGAAGAGGCTTTTAGCACCCAGGTAAAACTTCATCTTCAAATGCTCTTCTGCAAGATTCTAACTGCAAGATTCAGTTAACAGCTTTCTGGTGATTTTCTGGACAAAGGCCTTACCTTTTAAATCCTGCTTCTTGCTCTGTTCTTCTGTTGTTCTCTGGCCATTTGCAGTTAAGTTTGAAAAGCAAACTTACCTTGTTACTGTAATTTGGCTTTTCTTTCAATTACAGTGAATAGGATGGTGAATCAAAGTCGTTTTAAGCCCTTTTTAGCTAATTGTGGTTTTCCCATGTAGGTAACAGCTTTGATAAAACTGAAAGAATGCGAAGACTCCCACCTTGGAGAAGAAGTGGACAGGAACTGGAATGAAGTGGTGACCCAGCAGTACCTGTTTGACAGGCTGGCCCGGGAGGTGGGTGTCCTGCAGCTGGTACACAAAAACCAGYCTGTTTCAAATGCATCAGTGGGATTTATGCTATTAGTGACACACTGGGTCTAAAATTACATGTTATTTTAAAAAGGTTCTTTTATCCAGTGGGGTAGAGGTTGTAGAGAAACGATTTTYATGTTTAAAATTACTTGAATCACCACTGTGCTGCTAAAACTTCATTCCTGTGGGTTTCAGATTGAAGCTCTCAAGTCTATCACACAAGCAGACCTGGTCAACTGGTTCCAACTTCACAGAAGAAACCACAGGAAGGTGCTCAGTGTACATGTGAGTGTCTGTCAGCCTTGATAATCAGAGTGAAGTAATGGGGTGGKAGATCTGTAATGTAACTTTTACTGCAGTTATCCACATTTTTTACACCTCKAAGTATTGTTGTTTGAATTGCATGTCAGTATCTCAATTGTCAGGGAAATTAAACAATGAGATCTAAATTTCTCTTCTGGTACCTTTTCTGCAGGTGATTGGATATGGAAAACACGAAGGAGACTCRGASGTTACAGCTGTCTCAGGACAGAATTCTTCATCTGGTGAAATACCTCATCTTGTTTTACTGCCCCCCTCCTCTCTGATGAGCAACATCACTTCCATCAAGGACATCAAAGCCTACACGTCAAGTCTGAATGTTCTCCCATACCATAAAATATTAAAATAAAACTGCTATCTTGCCCCGCCCTGCTGTGTAATCCAGGTGCTTTCTGCAACATCAACACCACAAACCTATTTCTGTTACCCCAGGGCTGTAGTGGTAGCTGAGATGAAGATGCCCATTCAGACACTGAGCTTTCCTCAAGGTTCCAGCCAAGCTCTCAGCACTCCCCCACCTTCATTAAGAAGAGGCACAGCCCTGAGTCCCCCACTGCTGCCACGTTCTCCTCTCAGCTGGCTGGAGCTGTGGGCTCTGCCTTTGTGTTCAGACTGCCTCSTGCACCCTCCCTGCAGTGCTGCAGCAGTGACAGCTCCTCAGGAAAGGATCTGCAGCGCTCCCGGAGCAGTGACAGTGGGGGACAGGGAGAGAAAAGGCTTCCATCTCACACTGCTTTTTTAGTTTTTCTGTRTGTGGAACATAGACAAAATTGAGATGAAATCAAATAAAACCTAGACGTAACTGGGGAGAAAAGGAGTGATTGCTACATCCAGCTACTTACTCAACYATTACTGACTGATGCAGCAATACAGACGTTCCTGAAGTGCTGGCAAGGCTGGATGTAGAGTCCAGAAAAATTCTCCTGTGGATGCTGCAAATGCTCATTTTGCTCGTTCATTAACTACTTCATGAAGTAGGTTTAGCTGCAAGGATTATTCCAGTGGAAAAAAAAAATAATGCTCATACATTTTACATAAATCAATTTATCATGACTCAACTGAAAAACAGTCTTGCTGCAAAGGTTTATTATGAAATAAATAAAAAGTCCATAAGAGAAGTTTGAAAAATCTATTTTATGAAGCTTTAAGATGCATCGGGTAGAATTATCTATGGTTACATTTCAATCTCAAAATAACAAAGTTATTTTGGGCAAGACACTGAAATGCCAAAAGATTTGATTATCATACAGGTGGAAGATAACATTTATGTAGCGTTTTCTAACAAATTGTCCCATCGGAGGAATCCTCATATTTACACATTGCAAACATCAGCGAGATTTAAATGACATCTTGCATTTCATTTCTTGCTTTTTAAATATGTAGGACCCAGGAATATTAYGCAGCTGCTACCACCGCCGTGGCCTTCACAGTGGTTACACAGTGTCTGTGCTCCAGAGGCAGCAGGAGCAGGGCTGAGCCTGGACACCGCCAGCAGAGCGAGTCCCTGCTCGGAGCTGCTGCATCGCCTCTCGTGAATTGCTTTTGTCTGTCTCAGTAAGTCCGGTATCCCTGAGATAGGAACCACTGCAGCTGTTGGGGTGGGGCTCTCCCCTGTACGTACATGATCGCTGGGGACTGTCTGGGCTCAGCTCTAAACTCCGCTCAGCCAAGGCTCCAATGGTTCTGGCTTTAGGAYGCTCTCAGTGCTTGCTGGCAGCGAGGCGCTTCAGCAGCGGCTCATCGTAAACCCAGCACTCTCCRTCCTCGTGGAATAACTGCAAAGGAATCATCACCTGTAAGCTTGGGACAGAAGAAATGCCACAGGTGGAAGGGCATTGACCCTGCTGGAATGAAGCTCACCCTTGTTTCCCACGAGGTCTCGTTCTCCTTCCTGGCCCTGGCCTCGGCTCTCTGCCGCTCCTCAAGCGCGTGCTTGGCAGCCGTGGCTGCGTCGATGTCTCTGATCTTTAGGTTGTAGGTTACATCTTTCCACAAGCTTGAAAGAGAAAGRGCAATGGAGACTGGTTGATGGGAGCAGAGTGCTGCAAGTTGTGGACATATCAGTGACTACAGGTAGATCTCATGTTAGAGAAAGAGCAGAAAAGCCCCCAAGATCTGTTGAACCACAATTGTGCTGTGTTATGGCAGGAGGAGGAGGCTGTGGTGGAGCTCTCCAAACCTCCCTGAACATTTGATCCCAATTATTTGTGACTCAAAACTCCAGGCCTCCTCTTCCCCCTTAAATCCCCAGCCTGCCTGGGCTCAGGGAGAGCAGAGCATGCAGTGCCTGGATCAGTACACCCTTGGTCTCTGCACTGCAAACTGGAGTCTAACTGAAATAAAATCTTAATGTTCCCAGTTAACTAAAGTTCTTACCAGCGAGACTCAAAGTCGTCTTGGTCCTCCAATTTCCTTACCTTCTTCTTTATTGTAGGCATTTTCTTGGTATCTATAAAGACAGCATTCTCCTGGGAGATGAAAAAAAAAAAAAACAAACCTATTCAGTTCTTTAGCTAGAGTTTAAAGATACACCCTCACACTTTAGTATGTGGTTGGCAGGAAATACACGAAAAATGGTAATTCTTTAGATTTTGTTCTTGTATAAAAATCAAGCTTTCTTAAGAATAAATGAACAAAATAATTCATAACTTTTATCCCCAGTTCATTTGGGGATTGCCCAGTATTCTTCTGGAGGTTTCAACCATTAATGTTTAAAATGAAAATCCAAACACACAAAACCACCCCAAACCCTCTTGTTAAGTACAACCTTCTATTTCTGATGAAAAGAGAAAAAAGAAAGCAAGTTGTGTTACCCCTGTGGAGTACTTTGCATACATGACCCCATTCCATTCTCCTTCAATGGAGCAGAAGGGTTTCTTGTCATTTGGAGAACTAAGGAGAAACAAACAGTCATTTCTCAGCTGTATTACAGCAACTGAAAACTCCTGAAGAATCAAAACTCGATGCTGGTTGCTGCAGTCTGGTTTGTATCAGCCCTCAAAGGGTCCATCCCAAATAAGAAGAGAGGAGGGTTCTGTCTATAAGGAGCAGTTTGGCATGAATGAGTTACATAAACCTTCACAGGAAGTGCTGATCAGTGCAAGACAGGCCTTGCCCGAGGGCTGCATCTGCATTTAGAGTTTRGGAAAGCAGTTACAGGCCTTCCACACAGATTTAGGGCACTGAGTTTAGGCTTGAAAATGTTTCACAATCAGCTTCTTCCCCTGACTACTGGGAAACACAAGACACAGTTCTCAAATGGTGCCATGGATGTGTTAAGACATGATTTGAAACCAAGTTGCAAACCTYATTGTGACAGCATCCATTTACTGACATCACAGCACATCTCCAAATACCATGGGAATCTCCATGGAATTGTCTGTGCTGGGTTTGTGCACAGGATTTAACCAAAATCCACCAAACCACAGGTAAAAACAGGCAAAGGTTGCAGCAGAGCTTTAAGTGACACATTATGAGCAGCAGTATCCCAAGGCTTGCTGCAGTATTTGCATTTTAGGAGAGGTAATGATGCAGACACTTTTGATAATTCAGGAAAGCCAAGTTCCCTTTGGGAATCAGCTGAGGATGGTTTTGAGCAGGACAAAGTAGGACACAGGCCTGTGCAACTTCCTCTCACAAATTTGGCTTTAAATGGCATCCCATGACAGGTAATGATGAGCTAAGTTCTTTTGGGTGTTGCTGTTTCAGTATTTTACACTCCTGACTGTCTTGTTAAAGTGCTGGCATTTAAGGAGAAGAAAAGTGAGATGAAGAAAGCTGCTTACAAAATTTCAGCTGTAATTCTGTGCTTCTTTCCTCCATAAAATGGTTTTGTGTGGAAGACAATGGAAGCATTGTAACCTGTCTTGGAGCAACTAATGCTGCATTCTCCACCGAGCTCTATCCATGGCACAGTGAGAATAGACCTGCAATTAAAAATGTAGAAATGCACATATTTATAAGCTCTTGACCAATAAATATGAAGAATGAAACATTACGAGGCATTAAAAAATAAAAGACCAATTAGAGCATTTACTTGCCTTCCATAGCCATTAGGGAAAGTCAAAATATAGTGTTCATCATGATCTAGGCATGTGACACACCCTGTTAAAGAAAAATAAAAATAGATTTAAAAAATGTTAAGAAAAACCTGCACAGAACTTTTTACAATGACCTCTTGAAATATGTCATTAAAAACAGGTGCCATGAAAAGGAAAGGTGAAGAGCTTTATTTTTAATGGATGCTGAGAATGCCCAGCTTCTGGAGGAGGCAGGGACAGCTGTATTTTTGGGAAAAACTGGGTCCTAGGTGATTTCAGCACACAGAGTGTGTGGAAGGAAACTCTGATTCCCAGATACTTTAGCCCCAGCTACAGAAATCAATCATTGCTTACATTTAATACGACTTTAAATAATTTATATAAATTATTCTATAAAAATCCTAGTTGCAGAATTTAATTTCTCTTCTAGTATCAAATTTACACACACATACCTTGCCCTATGTTATGGACCCCAATAGACATTCCTAGGAATTTGGACTTGGTCCATATGTGAGCATTGAACTGTATYCTCTTGCTAAAACACTCGGCGTAAAACGCTGAAACTGAAGAAAAAGGTATTAAAAATAGCAGCACAAGACATTGACACCTTTGTTTCCAAATTCATTCATCAGAAAGTATCTCCAAGTGCTTCCCACTTATGTGGCARCAGAGTTGGCAATTAGTTTCTCAAAAAAAAAAAAGTTTGTAATTTTCAGCTTTAATCAATTTTCAGCTTCTTTCTCAGGAGAGAAAGTGCAAATCCAAGATTTAAGCCGAGAGCTGATTTTATTGTCACCCTCTCCAGCTGCCACCTCTGCTGGCAAAGGAACTGTCACAACTTACTTGGAGGATGGTGAGAGACCTGCTCTGCCACAAAGGTGACGTTGCTTTTACTGACCCAAGGGACTGGTCCTTCCGAGACCGGCTCCTAAAAATATAGTGCAGTGATTTTAATGGATTTGTCAGTTTGCTGATGGGGAGTAATTCCTTAGTCCTGGAACTATGATGCTTTCTAAAGGATAGAGTTCCTACTCTCTTACTTGAGGTGTAAATGTCTTCGTTTTAATTGTCCCCAAATAAAGCAGTTAAACTGAAAGGTTCACGTATAAACCCAATTACAAAATCATATTCAAGTGGCAGAAAGGGTTTTCATTTTTGCTTCTGAAAAAGTCTGATCTGCATATTAATAATGATCAGATTTCATGTACCACAAAACCATAAACTAATATTCATTTCCTGTGGCAAAGAATGCAAAGTGTAATTAAKTCATGGTTAGAAGCAATGGGAGCACAAATACAACACTGCCTTTATGCCAGCACATTGGAGTGCAAACATTCACCTGAGAGAACAAAATTTGAGAAAAAAATTGGTGGGAAGCAAACAAAATGGGGAAAACATAAGATTTTTATCTAAATAATCACATTTAGTCAGATGTACTACACTAAGGTTACATGAAGCATCTCACAACAGCACTTCCCACATCGCTGTTTGCAACTTCCCAAGGCGAGAAGCCTAAATGTGGTATCAAAAAAGAAAAACAACCAAAAAAAACCCATTGGGCTGCAGTGGTTTAAAGAATAAAAACAAAAAATCTGAACTTTGGAAAGAAAGGAACTCATAAGTAGTGCTATGAAACAGTTCAGGAAAAAAAGGACATTTTCAACATATCAAGTAATTTTTTAAAAACCAATTAATTTAGTGATGCAAGATAATTTAAACTTCTTAAAGAAAGTTCAAGAAAACAAGGAAAGAAGGGGAAAATTGGTTAAGAAATTGCTACAGTTTATTGATTTGCTACTTAAGTACAGCATAAGCCATTCCTGCCAGACTTAACAAAGCTTTGGGGTGTATCTCTGCATTCTGGGCACAAAAATAATACACCACAAGAAACTCACCATGTCATCTTCTCCTTCAGTGCCAGGCAACACCCAGTGGCATCGGAAGATCTCCCCMAGAATGGGATTGTAAGGCTTTTTAGCAACTGACCCTTTCCTTCCTGCATGGAAAGCTGAGAGGTACCATTTCACCACCTGAACCATCCGCTCCTTGGGATCCTTCTGGTCACTAATGCTACACAGAGAGAAAAAAAAAGGGCAGGCAAAATGAAATATCAGCAGGTAGCTTGGATACAAGAAAGTTTTATGGGTGCTTGGTTGTTTTATAACTAGAAATTTAACTGCTTTGAGTATTTTTGAAGTTTAAATCAATATTCAAGAGATATTCTTCAAAACTACCAACTTCTGGCTGCCCACAAGGGCCATAACCAATATGAGAGGCTCAGTGAATGCTCTTGTTCCAAAGTCAAATACCTGACAAACAAGTCTGGATGTGCAAAGAAGTCAGCATACATTTCCAGCAGCGACCTTCTTTCCAGGATAAACGTTGGAAGAACAACCTGAGTGAAGAAAAACAACTCTTCTAGATGAAGGTATTTGAATACCCTGTACACAACCAACTGAACTGACTGTAAATAGCCAACAGAGCACCCACAGCATCGTGTGCTCTAAGCTGATTGTGAGCTCCCCAGTGAGTTCTGACATATGCAGGTCAGCTGGCATCTTCTATAAACCCCAAGATTCCAGAGGAGCAGTCTCATCCTACACAGATTCAAATCCCACTCAGAGCCTATCAAAAGCTGTTCTGAATCACAGTATCACTGGTGATTGAATTACTCTGTGAACACTGTCAGTTTTCAGTTACACTCACTCTTGCAGTCCCCCTTTACGTGTCTCTATCAAGATGAAGTTTAAGCTCTTCTCTACCACCTCCCAAAGGTTCCATTGTTGTGGATCTGCTCAGTGTCATTTACTGTGTGATCCAGCATCAGTTACTGCTGCTCACAAGGTACATKCTCATGAAGCTTCCTGGCAGCCTAACTTGAGATCAGTAATTTTCAGCTATTCCAGCAATTCCCAGAACAGGCAGTTTGGATCAATTCCCACTCAGAACTGCAAGAAACCTTGCATGGTTTGCTTGTGAGCTGCTGGCTGTTTCCCCAGAAAAGCATTATCTTTTTATTATCCACTGTTCATTCCAGACTGGACAGTTCAATTCATCCACTTAAGGATACTTAAGGATAGGGTTGATCTCCCCTACCCTTTCTCAATCTGGAATTACTTGTTTACATTTAACCAAGCTGCCTGGAAAGCCCAACACCCTCAGAATGCCGTTCATTCAGCCCTCAGACAGACACCAGCACGAATCTCATTCATGAAAAACCCAACCCTTTACCTGCCAGACCCATCTGTAGCATTTCAAAACACACAGGCAACTTATTTACTCACTAAGATCCCAATTAAGCAAAGCATTTCACTATATGGTTACTTCTCCCTTTCATGTTTGATTGAATGTCACCACACTTTGTAGATTTTTGTTTTAGGAAGCTAAAGATAAGAGTAACATTTCAGCATTCCCCTTATGCCAGCTTCACAAACACTCCCAAGAATTAGGTTCAAAGAGAACAAACAGCTCCATTCCATAGCAAACTRTATTCCCAGRTTTTAGYATCTGGATATATTTACTCTGCAGTTAATTTCCCCCTTGCAGTAAGGATCCAATTCAGAAATACCATGCTAAAGAGATTAAAGCTTAACTAGCTCTCAGACCAAATATGCAGTTAAATGATTATGTAAACGTTTTTTTACACAGAACTAAGGGTTTACTCCTCCTCCCACCCCCATGAACACCAGCAAGTTTACCTTGGTTAGGTCCATGCCTAATCTCACTTGTGACAAGAGATGCATGATAACACTTTTATGTTCCTCCACTGACTCTCCTTCCCCATCATCTTCTCGATCGTCGGGAGGATCAAAGAGATCTGAAACACCAAATGGCTTTTGTTTTACTCCAAAC